CTGTATCATTATAGATTTATGACATTTTTCATAGATATATCTATTTTAGTACTAATTTAGTAATTTATACAATTTCCTTAGATAATACTATTATGATATTAGTTTAAGAATAATGGTTTATAGCCTTACCACTTCGATATGTGTATTGTACTATTTTATCAATTTTACGGTTATCACATGTGTTTTATTATTTGTACACCTACACAAATTCATGATCATATTGATTACTACTATCATGAAATGAATGATTTCATGCTTATTATTTCTTTTCTTTGCTTTGAGTTCAATAGTAGGATTCTAATGACTTGTTGGGCTTTATAAACTCAATATATATGGTTTACTAATTTCATGTTAGGAAAGAGATTCAGCAGTATGAGGCTAATCAGATATATGATTCTTCAGATTTCATTGTCATTTAATATTTTAGTTATTCTTTTCAACTCAGGAATGAGTAGACAATAATTTATATTTGTATGACTCTTGGCTAGTGTATATGATTTTTGGGTATTGAACCCTGATGTATATTGATGTTTTGATCAATAGATTTATTTACACTAGTATTTTATTATTAAAGAAATTATATAGCTCTAATTGTTATTATTAAAATATAAAATATATTTTTTTAAAATTAGATTCAAAAATGTGACACCATTACTTTACTTTCTTTTTTCCTCCTTTTTCATATTCTTTAAAATAAAGGCAAACATTAGTGGAAGTCAATATTGTTGAATCCAAATATCGAATTATGCTCGTGGATGATATCTGACCTTAATATTAGGCTGACTATGTAAGAGAGTGACCCAGAACCTAGGAGTGAATGGACGGAGAAATAAAGAATAAAGAGAGCTAGAAAAAAAATAGAGGATTTGTAACAAACTCAAGGAAGCTATGAATCTCAAACTAGCATAAGATAAATGAAAATCATTTAAAAGACTCAAACTACTCCTCATCTCATCTTATTTATAGGGTTCTGAGGGCTAAAGGGAATGCTGCATCAAAGAAAAATAAAAAGCACAACACTACACAGAATATCCAGGACACATGTTGCCTCTTGATTAGGCTAACAGCGAGCAAGGGTTGCAAAGCTCTGACAATCTATCAACGGGGTAGCTCAATAATACAGACGAGTTTTGTGGTGCTGAGTGGTAAAGGGCGAGTCTGCAAACGTGTACCAAGAATGATGAGCTCAATAACGAGGCATTGACTTCAAAATATGGGTGACCTATTTTGAACCTTGAGTCGCCTTACAAGAGAAGGTGAGTGAGCTGAAGTAGTTGAGAAGATGAACTAACTGGTTGACTATAGAAGGGCTAGCTAAGGACCCTTAAGGTAGGCACTTTCTTATAGTTGAGTTTGATGAGATTGTATGAGGATAAGGGTCCTAAAAGGGAAAGAACCTCTGACTATGGAGATGATCTAGGTTTGTGGAGGTGCTACGTTTCTAGCTTGGTGAGGAATTCCTGTTTCTCCTTGCGAAGGGCGTCCTTCATGATTGGTTCGAGCAAGTAGCACATGTTGATCAATTTGGGCAATTTCTCCCATGGATCCTAAGTGAGTAGTGCCTCTCTCACCATTAGGTGAGTTCCACATGTGGGATTCTATAACACCTATTGAATCCGTGTGCAATTGCACCCATTTTGATTCAATCTAATGAGATAAATGATGTGAAATTTCTGTATTCATGTCTTCTACATGTGTGTGTGAGTGATCTGTTCATAAGTGTGTTTAAATGTAATTGTCCGGGAGTCTGCCTGCATATGCATGTGTATCAAAATCTAATTTTTTTTTCTTTGGGAGAGTTAGAGTGTTGAGCTCTCCAATCATTTCTGAAATTTAAACTACCACTGCGGCGTTGAGGTCATGCGCTGCAGTGCTACGCTCTCCAATGGAGAGCACTGCGACGCTACAGGGTCGAGCGCTATGAAGCTAGATAAATTTTTCTTATAAAAATATCTAAAACCATTATCTAAAGTGGTTCGTATGCTTTCTATGTAAAAAGAGCATCCCCACCATCTGAAGAAAAATGTGGATATGGCTTTGAGGAGTAATCTTTATAAGTAAAATGCAAAATAAAGAAAAGTGGAGCATTTCCACCACACAAAGTTCTACAATTTTTGCTTTGCCAGCCTAATTTTGGAGAAGAACAAATTGCACACCCTCAGGAACTACAATTTTAATACCGAGCTTAGTTCACGTAAAATCTTCCATGGAGAAGTATACCACACGATTTTAATACCGAACAACTATAGAATTTTCTCTCCTTCTTACCAAATGGACTTCTTTCTTACCTTCTCCTTTGGTTTTTATTAAGAGGAAAAATGCGAGCAGTAACAGTTCCTCAACAATCGGAGCCCATGTAACTCATACATTATTTTTCAGTGATTTGATGATAATAAATCTATGCATTATTTCATTTAATAGTTTTCTAAGTTTTTCTACAAGCTTTCATGGGTGTCAATTTCGGGTCACGGGTCGGATTCGGGTCGAACCCGAAATAACGCTTCGGGTCCGGGTCCGGGTCAACCCGACACGACCCGAATGACCCGTTTCCAACAAAAAATGGCTAATTTTCAGGTCAAAAACAGGTCAATCTCCTCTTTTTGGGTAAAAAACGGGCCAATCTTGGGTTGTTGGGTCAAAATCGGGTTTTCGGGTCACTTTCGGGTCAATTTTGGGTCAAAGGGTTAACCCGAACCCGACCCGATATTTGAAACGGGTCGAAATGCTGAACCCGAACCCGACCTGTTTCGGGTTCAGGTTGACCCTAACCCGAAATTTTCGGGTCAGATTTTCGGGTCGTGTCAAATATTGACACCCCTCATATATTAGCTAAATCATAGAGATGATGATTGCCTACTCCACTTGTTGCTTGGATTTTTGCAACTTGGATATGAGCAAAAAATGATGGATCAATAAATTTTAAAGAGAAAATGAAAGAGTTTAAATAATAGTTTAGTATTTGTTTAAGTATTTCAATATATGATTGAGTTATTGTTTATCATAAAATATCTCAAGCATGAAAATAAATAACTAAAAATGATTTCAAAAATTTTCAATGTTCTTCTAGATTTATTTATAAATTTTTGGATATTTATTTCATTATATGATTGAGTTTTTATTTATCTAATTTATTAATATTTATTTTTTACTTAAATTATAATAATTTGTGATCATGAGCTGAAATTTTATTTCATTTTTAAATGATTACTAATATTGTTAAGTTTATTTGAGTTTTAATTTCATAAATATATCATTAAATTTATTATTTTCATGTTAATCATTATTAATTATGTTAATGATTGATAGCTTATATCTTATGAATTTTTAAGTGAGTTTAAAGCTTTTTATATTTCCTCCAAATTTTTATGGTATGTCACTTATCTATATTCATGTACACAAAAAAAAGGATATTTTAGAGCTCATCTGATATATTTAAAAATTCATGTAATGGTGCAATAATTAGTATTAATAAAGAAATTATATTATACATTTTGTCTTTGGGCTTAATTCATATTTCATTAATTCATTGGATTTTTTAAATATAATTTTGCATATTTTATTACCTATTTTCATTTAAAAATGAATTTATTATGATTTTTCAAAATATTAGTTCTTTCCTTTTAAACTGCTAACTGAAATAGCTAATTGATTATTATCATTAGGGATTTGATTGTAATCAAATTTGACCATTTAGGAGCTTAATTTTATACTTTTACAATGATAGATTGATATATAATTCCACACATATTTCATATAAGAAGATAAGAGTATTTTGGATATCAAAATTTTATCATATCTAAGAAGAAAAACTATAAGTATTCATCCTTGTAATCTCCTGTGATTAAGATTTTATTTGGGATAACTTTAAACCACTATTTTTTTTTTATTTTTATAAGATTTTTGTACTAAAAAATAACTATACAAAGCAGTAAGAAAGTCATCTCAAACAAAAACTAAGTATTAAAATAATATCTCTCTCAATCTTGTGGTTTTGTTTTATTATAATTGTTTTATAGTTATCAATCACTCATTTATGATAAGATTGTATTAAACATTGTAGTAGTTGGGAATTATTATATCCATCAGCACTGTGTTTGATTACTTTGGCTATTGTTAAGCATTTGGCTTAGAGGTACCTTGCTCATAACAAAGGTGATGGTACGAGTAAGGGTGTCAATTCGGGTGAGCGGGTCGGGTTCGAGTCGAACCCGGAACTGACCCGGCACTGTTCGGGTCAACCCGAACCCGACCCATTTTTAAAAACGGGTCAGGTTTCTAGACCCGAACCCGACCCGATTCGGATCCGGTTCAACCCGACCCGACACGAATGACCCAAAGTTTACCTAAAATTGCTAATTTTTGGGTCAAAGTCGGGTCAATATTCGATTTTCGGGTCAAAATCGGGTCAAAAACGGGTCAATCTCAATTTCTCGGGTCAAATATGAGTTTTCGGGTCAATTTCGGGTTGCTGGGTCAACCCGAACCCGACCCGATTTTTAAAACAGGTTGATTTGTTCAACCCGAACCCGACCCGTTTCGGGTTCGGGTTGACCCGAACCCGGATTTTTCCGGGTTGGGTTCGGGTCGAGTTTCGGGTCATGTCAAAAATTCACGAGCCAAGGTACGACCCCCTTAAAGAAAGTGAGGACATATTACTCCATGAAGGAAGAGATTGCGAGTTTTCAGGCCTATGGTGAGCAATGGAGTAATAATTTTGGTGAAGTGAAATCCTAAGTATTTGGAACAATTTTTTTACTGTTTTCTAAAGCAGTTTTCTAGCATAAAAATTTTCTAATCTAAGAAAAAATTTATACTGAAAAGTTGTTTTGAAAAGTAGTTAGAAAGCTGTCCCAAACGAAAACCTTAATTGGTGTCAATACGGACCTTGTCTTCACATGAACCAATTCAAATCTAGGCTTACTTAGTATTACATTATGGAATTAAAATAGGATTCAACACTTCCCTAAGGAAAAATATATATACCACAAATAAAACTTGAATTTCATGAGGGAAATGTCTTTCATTAAGCTTCCTTAACTGTACAAATAAGAAGAGGAAATGAAAACCAGGAGATGGGATCAAGATGGTTGCTGGAAAAATGTGAAGTAGTCTCTACGCCAATAACAGCGAGATGTTTTCAAGCTCCACTGTTTTCATCAGCATATATATATATCTCTCCTATCTAAATTCTTATCACTTTATTGAAGAAAGCTGATTTGTGATTTTGAGAATATTGCTCGCTGTAAGTTCTTGAAAGATCTTTGATAACTAACAAACCCCATGAACCAGAACTCAAAATTGTCAATGGTTGCTATATGAATATATTTCTGGTTTGGTTTGTCAGCATTTTCACTTGGATTGACACCCTTTATCCTTCTCAGTGGAATCAATACCTATAAAACATAACGGTAACTATCAATTTCCTTCATGAGTGCTTTGTTTTTTGAATCTCTTTTTGTATGCAGCAAATGCTTAATACATGGATTTGAAGAAAAGAGATAACCTTGTAGGGGGTCCTCACAATGTTTCCTCTAGGTGATCGGATAACCAGAGACCGATCGCTCAGGAAAGCTATCTTCTCTGTTGAAATGAAGAGGAGCCCAGGAATAGGACCAACGGTTGTTGAAAGATGGCACTGAAAGGCCTTCACCAGCTTTTCTCCCTCTCCAATGGAGAAGCTTTTCTTAAATACTCTCTCAATTCCTCCAGCTTGAAGAATCCTTGTACCCAACTTCAACTTCGCTTTCACAGTTTCAGAGACTCCAGGTCCCAAACTTACTGTAAATTTTGACTTATTATGGTTAGACTTCAGCAAATCTAATACTGGAAACTTACTTTAAACACTACAAACTAAGTTTTGCTTGGATCGAGTTCAAATTAAAATAAATGACAGTTTGAATCGAGATTGAACCAAGCCAACCTCTAGCTTGCTCAGCACGAGATCATCGAATCAAACAGCTTTAACCAATCTTGAACTCAAAGCAAACTAGCTCAAGATTGAAGCATTCAAAGCCTTAGATAGCAACCAGTTGGCAATTTACCATGATCCCTTATGCCCTGTGCAAGATTATCTGCTTTTCTTTTGAACCTGTTGACCAGGCCAATGATGGACTCCGCTCCCTCTGCAAATTTTGTTTATTTGAACATTTAGTCTTCATTTAATCGCTATAATTAAGATTCAGAAATCACAAAAAAAAAAGAGAGATCTGATCATTACTCTGCTTAAGCTGGGAGGTTCCATATTGCGTTGTGCGAGCATACGCCACAATTGGTTCATGAAGGGAAGATTTTCCACCCACAGATCGGAAAGGGATGCCAATGGCATGTTCTTGGCTTGAATTCGTCATTCTTTGATAGAGCTTCTTCTCCAAATTGCTTCCACTTCTTCTACTGCTTCTGATACTTGCTAAAACATGGCATTTTGAAGGTAATTTATAGGCTAAAATACACAGTGAGCATGTGAAGATACTGAGCGGTTAAGCAACTGAAAAGGAGCAACTACTATACAAAGAAACTTTGTGGTTTTCTGAATCAGCAGCTCATGCGTCAAAGTCATCTGCAGCTTATCGGGAATAAAGGGATTTAGCCATGCACAAAGATAATATAAGAAAAGCTATCAGCAGAAGATCCTTTTGTATTTAAAAGTCCCTGCAGTTATAGGCAAACTCCTGAACATAGGAGCATATCTGGAAGGCAAAAAAAAGTTATCCGACACAGTGGAAATGGCCAAATATGGTACCACTTGCGGATTTTTTTTATTTTTTTTCTTGATTTGCATTGCATAGCCTAAGTGGCACAGACCTTTGATCCATTATTTAAGGTTGATTTTATCGAAGCTTAGTATTATGATTTGGCATGCCCAGCCTAGCCTAACACATTTAAATTCTCGTTTGGAACGATTTTTTCACTGCTTTAACTTTTTTAAGATCGTAATCACAATATTCAATTGGTACTGTTTTTCTGCTACTTTTTAAAAAACAAAATTTAACTAAAAACCGTGCTTTCTTACAACAGTTTTTAAAATTACTTTCTCTCTATTAGCTTTCAAAACAGTAGACAATAACCCGAAGCAATAAATCACTTTCAAATACTTAATGCTCAGAAAAAATGATTAACCCATTGTGTGAGGGCAGGATGAAAGGCTTGGTCCCAATCTGTGATATGCATCATAGATTCCAGCTATAGTCTATGTGGAAGTGGGAAACAGACTCTTCTTTCTTCTTCTCTCCTCTTTTTTTTCTGCCCTTTAAAAAAATCAGGGCCCGAATCAGAGCAGGTCAGTGTCATCATCCAAGAACGAAATCAGCAATTTGATATGCTTAGTTGGATACAGTGGAAAGCAAATGTGGTGTCATGTGCTTCTCTGTCTTTACTTTATATGCTTTGGCTTCTAAATCTCGTTGCTTTTTTGGGTCTTTGGTTCTCCTTTTCAGCCTGCTGCTTTAGACCTGCCTGCCTCTAACGCTGGAAAAATTTTGTTTCTTTGGTTCAGTTTGGCTATTTTGTGCACCTTGTAGTAGCGCAAAGAAGAGTGGGTTAATTGGAAATGCTATGAGGAAAATCATCTGGTATTATTTAAGGAAGAGAGGCTTGTTATTCTGATTTAAATTTGGTAGGGATGCATTTTGAAGTAATTTGATTTATTTTGAACTGAACTAAGCGATAAAGCTCGCTAGGTTAAGAGAAATTATTACGTCCGATTGTCTTGAGGTGAATCAGGATGCGTCATATCATCCAGTACGTAGCGGTACACAACACTGGTACAAAACCAAATGGTGATGTGGCGCGTCCAAATTCGCCTCTGAACGGCGTCCCGTGACCGCACGTAATAATTTCTCCTAAGTTTAGGTGACGATGGAACTAACGTAGAGAAAAAAAGTCGTGATGGAGCTTCTGGGCAAGCATCGATGGCGCCGACGTAGGACTTCATGATGGAGTTTGCTAGGGCAATGCATTCACTATGCTGACATAGAAAGTCATGACAGAGCTTAATAGGATAATGTATCATAGTTAAGAGGATGTTTTATTATGTAGTTATTAAAATTTAGGAATTAAATATGTAATAATAATTTGAGTGTTATGTTTGTTAATTCCTCTATTTTTGATATTTGCTCCATTAAATTGGGCATGAAGTAGTTGAATTGGTGATCAGCGGAGCTGAGTACCTCTAAGTGGAGCTATACTAAACTGGACCAAACTCTATAGAGGTTTAGGTTTCGTTTGGGATGACTTTTTTGTTGCTTCTTAAAGCAGCTTTTTAGTTAAAAAATTAAAAATTTTATACTAGAAAATTGCTTTAAGAAGCGACAAGAAAGTTGTCTCAAGCGAAATCTTGATTGACACTTAGGCTTCGTTTGGGATAGATTTTGACCATTGTTTTTAAGAAATTCTTATATTAGAAAGCTGATTTAAAACATAATAAGAAAATTATCCCAAATGAAACCTTAATAAAGCCTAAATCAAATGAATTTGTGCTTGACTAAAGAGAAATTTTAAATCAAGGCTTTGTTTGGGACAACTTTCTTGCTACTTTTTAAAGCAGCTTTTTAATACAAAAATTAAAAATGTTGTACTAAAAAGCTGTTTTAAAAATCAATAAGAAAGTCATCCCAAATAATGCATAAATTGGAAAATTAATTGATTCTGTTGAATATGATTTAGTCTAAATTTAAGATTTTGGCAATTAGAGTATTATCTGATTTGATTTTGATTTGAGTTTTAATAAAAAAAACAAATAAAATCAGTTTAGGAAATAGGTATGCATTTATAAACACATCTCAACCCTTCAATTGTTTAAAAACATATCCCAACCGTTCATTAAATTCATTTATTTTATTGTGTATTAGTATCAAATCTAGAAGTGAAATGCTTAGAAAATAGAAAAAAAAAATTCCTTTTATTTATTCTTTAGATATCAAACATGTTTTGATAGCTTTTTCTTTTGCCAAAATTTATAACAAAATTAGAATTGATTCGATCATCTAATCGATTTGATTTGGCTCCATTTCTTTTTTTTTTTTTTTTTTTTTAAAAAATTCCAATGTGATCTGAGTTTAAGCGTAAGAATATAGTGATGTAATTTATGTCAAGATAGATTTTTATGTCCTTAGATTTATGTTATATAATATCAAAAATTGCACTAATTGCAGGGCAAATCTAAAGGCATTGAAACCCAACATAATATAAATTAGGCAAAAATAATCATACCTAATTATTTTACTAATTCAAATATAATTTGATTTGAAATCTTGCATCCACAATTAATTGGCAGGCAGCTATAAAGTGGCACAAAAATTTATTAATAGTTTGAGATAATTATTTTTTTATTTTTAGTTTATTTTTCTTTTATATTTTTAATGTTATTTCATTAAAAAAACAATTTTTTATTTCAAATATATGCTAGATTTAAAAAAAAAATCATAACCAAAATAAAACAAACACAATTCAACATTGGAAAATTTTCAATTCTAATTATTTATTATAAATATATAATAAGATGTAACTATCTGTATTGAAGGATTTATACTTTATTTTTTCAATATTTAAATATTATAGTCATATAAATGGATTACTATAATAATTTTTAGTTTTTAATGAAATTTAAGGAAATAATTAAATCCTAAAATAAAGGAAATGTTATAATCCTAAAAAAAAACTTACCTTTAAAATTCAAGTTATATTCATTTTTTATAAGATTGACCAATAAAAGTACTCTTAAAATAAACATATATGATGTCCTGAAGTTATGCCTATCATTCATGTTTTGGAAACTACGGGTGTTAAGAAAAATTTTACTAGCAACAACTGTATTAACTCTCATGATAATATTGATAAGGAGTCCATTCTTGGAACTTTTATTTTGTCCAGTGACCGGACGTAGAGCTACGTTCGGACGGCACTAGATCGCGCCATGTAACAGGCACAAAATCACGTATTGGTCAATTTTGCTCGGTAATAACGAGAAATACCATTATGTGAAGACAAATACCAAGCAATACCGAACTATATCGAGTAATACCGAGGAACACCGAGAAAAACTCGGTATTGGTCTTCACAGGGCGGTATTTCTCGTTATTGCCTAGCAATACCGAGCAAATACCGGGTAACTCAGTGGTGACCGAACGTAGCTCTACGTCCAGTCACCGGACCTAATAATTGTTCCCATTCTCGAGGCCGCTGCAAATGTTGCTAATATAGCTAATACTAGGGGCATGATTGAGGGTGTTGGTCAGGAAAATCAAAATCTTGTCACTTTAATTGGCACTTCCTTAACTCCTGATTTATCCACTGTTGTTACGTCTGGAATGGTTGCTCCTCCTACTCAGTTACCGGCGGAGAATGTGGTCGAGACGGCCATTATTTTATGTTAAATTTCTTTTTTATCAAACTCCCAAACAGCCTTTTAACAAAATAATCAAGAGATTAATTAATTAATATCAACTTTTTACAGAACTTTCTTCTCTTTGAACCATTTTGTCAATGATGGAAGAATTATTATTTGAAGCAACCAAATCACTGTGCACCGACAACTTGTGAAATTGCCCAATAGCTGATTTCAGGTGCTTAACACAGCTCTGGTAACAAAGGAATCCCATAAACCAGAACTCAAAGTTATCCACTGTGACTATCTGCATAAAACTTTTGCTTTGACTGCCCATTTGTTCAATTTGATTTGTGCTCTTAATCTTCCTTATTGGGATCAGAACCTGAAAAAATGGAGATTTAATTTCAACTCTGAATGCAAAAAAATAGTGTATTGCAAGATTTGATGAGGGGTTGATGAATTATATATGCAGTCTTGAGTTTGAATTCAAAGAGAGATTGTTTCTAGGATTCGAATCTGTAACGTTTAGATCACAACTCTAAATTTATCCTCTTAAATTGGACAAATTATTTTGTGCTGACACCAGATGGGAGAACCGTCCGGTTTTCTCTTTTTCTACAGTAAAAGCGAGATGAGATGTGACCTCGCTTTTACTTTAGCAACTGCACTTTTACTGTTGATAGAGAGACCACGCTTTTACTTTGACAACTGCATTTTTACTGTAGACAGAGAGAAAACTGGACGGTTCTCTCAGTCCGATGTCTGCACAAAATAATCTCTCCTTAAATTTTACTAAGAATAGGGGTGTAATTGGTTGAAGTTGATCGTGTGCGAGCTCAAGTTCAATGAGCTCATGAGGGTAAGCTCGAGCCAGCCTTATTTCGACTTATTTTCTCTTGATCCGACTAATTTAAAAAACATTAATATAAAGAAGTTAAAAATGATATATCTTCTTATTTTATTTGATTTCTTATTAGTTCTCTTCAGATTTCTTTATTATGATTACTATTTGAATTGGAACCATATACTCTTTTTTCTTAACAACTTCTTAGCTTGTGAGTCAATTTGAATTTATAGTATTGAGCTCATGGTCAAATTCTAACTTGATTAATTAGTCCTACTCTAAGCTCAAAGCAGAGTTAGGTTTTGTTTGGGATGACTTTCTTACCGCTTATTAAAACAGTTTTTTAGTAGACAAATTTTAAATTGTGTACTAGAAAGCTGCTTTAAGAAGCAGTAAGAAAGCTGTCTCAAACAAAGCCTTAGCTAGAGCTCGACTAGACGCTTTTCCACCCTTAACTGAGAATAATTCTCACAAATTTCCTCCTCGGCTCATTTAAGCAATTATTTTGCTGAAATTTTCAGAAACAAAGGTTACCTTGTAGGGCACTTTAATCACTTCACCATCAGAAGAAACAGTAGTGAGGGGCCTATCACTGATAAATGCAATCTTTTTATTTGAAACAAAGAGAAGCCCTGCAATAGGACCCGCTGTTGTTGATAGGTAACACTGGAATGCCTTCAGCAATTTCTCTCCTTTCCTGAATGAGAAGCTTTGTCTAAAGACTCTCTGAATCCCTCCAGCTTGAACAATTCTTGTACCCAAGCTGATCTTACTCTTGACAGTTTCAGTGATCTTTGGCCCCAAATTCACTGTTAGATTACCATTTTTCCATCATATATAACATAATTAGTTAGCCATTACAAAGTTTAAGGTAATCAGATTCAAGTTACCATGGTCTCGGATGCCTTGAGCTAGATTGTCTGCCTTGCTAGTGAATTTGCTCACCCAATTAGTAAGAGATTTCACTTTGCCTGAAATTTTCAAGAGAAATTAAGCCTTGAAGAAGAGTAACTAAGAAAATGTTTAGAAGGCTAAGAGAAAGTGATATGGTTATTACTCAGTTTTAATTTTGAGATACCAAAGAGAGGGCAGTGGATATACATGCTAACTTGCTCAGGAGTAGAAGACTCAGAAATTGCAGAGATCCCTACAGCATTATTATCATTGGAATTCTTCATAGCTTCAGCTCCTTCCAACTGTTTTTGTGAGAGAAGTAGGTCGTTGTTGGCTACAGAAATCCATCAATGTGTGCTTTTTATAAGGAACTGCTGTACAAGTCAATGACTAGAATCTGAATCAGCAACTTATCCTTTAGAGAAACATGTCAGAATCAGTTCTCAAGAAATTTCTGTGCATCTTAAAAATAATGATCATTTAAAAGGAAGAAAAAGCTTAGATTGCATTTTATTTATTTATTTATTATATAAAAAATGTATTAAGACAGGAAATAAAAATAAAAATAAAAAAATAAAATTGTGCAAATATGAAGTCAGAAGCATTCAAATAGTGGTAACCATGTATCTGACTCTCTTTAAAGTAAAATGCTTAGCTGTTGCTTTATTAAGGAGTTTGGTAGATTGTTAGTTTTCAAAAGCTTTAACTGCAGCTGTTGAAATTGTTACCGGGGATAATTTAGCTTTTCTTTTTGGAGAAGAGATATTTAGGTCAATTAAGACAAACTCACACACATCATATATGCAAAACTCAAATCCAAGACCTCTAAGGTGATAGCCAAAACTCCCGAAGATAAGTTGTATAGAGATAATTTAGCAGTTTGCCCTTTAGAATTTGAGAATGTGAGAAAGGCTACTATGAATTTTTTTTTTAATTTATGGCACTCTTGCAGCTCTTTTCCTACATAAATTACTTATAGAAGATTTAACATGGAAAAAAAAACCTTTTTTTAGGTTTTATTGCAATAATTATTCAATGTCAGTATTTTCTTTTTATGCCTATCAATGATGTCAGAAAAGTCGGATCATTGTTATGCATGAAGCAATGACGTGGTACCTACCCACCGATGTTTATAGCTCGGTTGGTGGGCGAGCGCGGTTGGGTACCCCCCAACCCGCTTTCGATTCTCCTCGAGCGGCAGCGCTTCTTAAGTGGGCCCATGAAGCACGGGCCAGGAGGTGGTGGGTGTCTCTTCTAGGTCAGTTAAGGTTTAGTCACGCCGCCAAACGCCTCTTCGAGAGTAGCAGCATGTTGATACCCCATTCCAAAAAAAAAACAGTGAGGTACCTCGATCATTGAATCAAAATCTCTGAGGACAATCTGTCCTATCCAAGTCACCTAACTATGTTATATAAAAAGCTTAAGTATCCATTGCTAAGACTATATCTAGGGATCCTAGGAAGAATAAGCTATATGAGGGAGAAGGAGAAGAAGAGTGATGAATATTACATTTCCCTAATCTCCATAGAGTATATATGAAACTTTCTTTATATTAAATGTTTTGTAAATTCCACTGAAAGTAGTAGTTAAATGAGCTCATTTCTTAGCTCAATTGAATGTTCCACTAAAGTTCAAGTCAATTAAGTGATTAGTTCAATGATGGCCCCACATTATTAATTGTGTTAATACTTTTCTAAAGGATTACTCGCATATTTTATCTTCCAAATCTCCTTTTCTTGAAATGTCCTTCAGAGATTCAATTGACCTATTATATGCCGACATAGCACTGAGTCAGCAACTTTATTATGCTAACTGTGCTTGGTGTAGACTGAAAATCCTTTAGATTGAGATGGCACTGACATCCTTAAGATTAAGTGATCATGTGCTGGTATATGTCAAGTCATATTAATGACAATAGTTGATTAATCGAATTTTCCAAAGGTATTGCAGTCACTGATCTGTAATACGTTCTTTATTTTATCGATGTAATTAAGGGCTTTGATGAAACCAAAATAGAACTATGTGAAGAAATTTCAGCTAGCACCAGCCCACACAAAAACCAAAATAGAACAATGTGAAGACTTTCCTCCGATGCAACATGTGAAGAGAGATTATGTACTCAATAGCACCTCTGCATTATAGAGCACGGCATTATAGAAATGCATCTTTCATGATACAAGAATATTTCATCTATTTTGCACAAGCGAGCTTTGCATGTAATTATGGGCAGTATCTACACTGCTTTGCTCTTTGACAGTATGATTAATATGTCACTGGCAATTCTGAAAATCACTTTTTGGAAGAACTTCAAAGATCTCTTATGGGCATCGAAATTTTGCACCCTGGCCTCTCTGTGGCCCTTTTTTTTCTTCTTCGGGTCGTCAAGCAAAGTTTTAACGAGTATGCTACGAGGCAAGTTTTTAGATGGCATATTAGGTTTTGAATAAGATATTACCCAAAGATTTCACCCTCATTTTGTGAGGACTTTATGATTTGAGTTTAAAGTTTCATATAAGTGCAAGCCCCTATAGTTAATTATTCATCCCGATAGTGAGAAAGAACTTTCGATTAAGACTAGTCGTCGAACGAATACATAGTATCTGACATATAGTTGCAGCCTGATTTTATGTATTTGAAAATTGAATATTTAAAAATTAAAAATTTACCATCTTGCACTTAAAGCATATGGTGGGGGGAACGATGATAAACCCGATCAAGACCCCATGATTCCGTTATCCTGAGATATCATGATCTTTGGTCTACTTTGTCAAAGGAGGTAGTTAACCCAACCCAACTGAAGGAACCTTGTCGACAGCCATTGGTTGCTTCGTCCAAGGGTACCTTATAGACATGGGGTGAATATTTGTCTAAGAGGATAAATTTGAATCCACATTAACTAACCGATGGCTTTGTGCCCTATTGATTCACTACTCAAGGATTTAACATCGTTAGGGAACATACGGCTCTCTGTGCCATGACCGTAATTTAAGGGTGCCACTTGGTGGCAAAGCCACCTGATCAGAGGGTTCCGATCATATCCGTTTACCAGTGGTGTCATTTAACGGTGAAACCACCAGTTAAAGGACGTGGTCCTTACTTGCAAAAGACGGATTGAGAATGAATTCTAGTGATATTCTTGACTAGACATTCGGTCAAATTTGTCCACCTTGGCAAATTTTTGCAAAGGGTGGATGAGTATTTTGCTTTAAGTTATTTTGGTATTTTATTTTAATTTTAAATATCTTAAATTTTGGTGATTTTTTAGCTATACATTTTATTGGGATTTGAGAGGTATTTCAAATATTTGGGAGTCTCTACGGTTGAAATATTCTGTCAACATGACCATCATTGGGATGCTTATGGACAATTTTATTTTATTGATCGAACCTTATCGACTCTGTCTACTTGTCAATAGAGGATCAAATTCTTCATCTGCTTTATGCCCTTATTAAAGAATTTTTTTGTTATAAATCTTGAAGGTCTAGCATGAACGCATAAAACAAATATCATGATCAATGTCGTGCCCGTATATTTGTTTGATAGTTTGAGCTGTGTCGACTCCTATCTATTAGCATTGAAGGATATGGCTTGAACTTAGGTCCATTTCTTGACTCATACAATATCTTCGTACGTCACGCATGTGCATAAATTACATTCGTCAGGGCCCATGCTGATATATACTTTGATTTGCATTTTGCACAATGTATTTTGTGTTATGTGTTTTATAATTTGTAATGTGTACATGCATGATGTGACTGCGTCAATGTGTATATCAATGCATGGGGGGCATGTTTGCATCATTTAGTTATAACTAGCTGGGCAAGTGATTATCACTAAAGAGTACGCAGGATTTCATTTTGGCATCTACAAATGTCTTATGTCCACTTGTATGAGTGTTACGAATCCGGTTGTGTAGTGTTCATTTCATTCATTATGCATTGGCAGTGTAGTTTAACTCACTGTAGCTTCTGCGTGTTGCCTTTTTTTTCTTCAATACTTAGCTTGTGGGAGTGTATTTCAGCTTGCAAACAAGTTGTATGGTGTATTAGGAGCCTCCTATCTGTCGCTTGCAAGTAAGCTGGTATTTGGTGTGATAGCCTTACTTTGTAAGTTTACTGCCTCAATTTATCAGCAACCTGCGATTTTTATTACTTATCCTTGCTTTTGCTTAAAGGCAAATCGTAGCATTATGCCACAGGTCATTTGTGACTTTATACAGGTAGACTATCGTGCACTAAAGAATCTCCTGCAATTGTTAGTGGATGCCATGTAGTGTGTATGATGGGCCCCTTGCAATAGCTCATAGGAGTTTGCATTTGTTGTAGTCCTTCCGCATTTACCCGAAGATGGCATGTTAAGTACATGACGAGTCGCCTACAATGACTCGTAGGTGTCTGCATTGGATGAAGGTCTTATGTATTTGCTTGCATATAGTATTTTGTATGTATGACGGGTTTCTTGTGGCAGCTTGTAGGCATTTGCATTTTTTGCATATCATTCATCTTTGCTTGCAAGGGATCAATGTATTTGACTATCATCGCATGGTCATTGACTGTAAGGGTGTCGTAGCATTCACTGCCTATTGTTTACCATCGTCTACAGGTATATTATTGTGCACACGACGAATCTTCCATCATTTTTGGTAGGAATTTGCATTTGTCACGATCTTCTATCTCATGCCTGTAGAGGATCCATCATATTGGCGATACATTCACCATTACTGCTTGTAAATAGGATCGATGTATGCATCGCAAGCTCTCCACTGTCATATGTGGGCAAGTTGTACTGAATGCAGGTCTTCTAGTGTTGCTTGTAGGAATTTGTATTTATTTTCACCCTTATGATGTTGCTTGTAGAATGGAATCCAGTGTCGTCATCTGCAAGCGAGTTAGTGTCTTTATTTGCTGGTTGTAGGCTGATTAACATGAGCATCGTGAGTCTTATGTTATTTATCTGTTGGGAAATGTGCATAATTGCCAGTATTTAGATTGTCATATTTCTTTCTTGTTCTTGCTGATCATTGCTTGCAAGCAAATCATTCTTGAAATTTTGTTCTTCACAAGTTGTTGCCTGCAAAATTGCTTATGCTTGGAAATAGATCCATCACGAGTCCCCTGTTTATCCATTAATGTTCATTTGAATGATTTGAACTATATTCTGAGATTTATATTTTTAATTTAATCGTGCATTTTAAGGTTTATGTCTAGTTCCCTGTCATCCAAGTTGTATGTTCTATACCATGTGGTCCAAATTGCAAGTTCAGTTCATTGTCATTTTGTTTAAGTTCAGGTCCTATGTTCACTAAAAATTTCGGCAACTTCCCAGCATCTCCCCTTTCTAGGGAAAATTTAGAGAGCTAGGCCTTCCCATCACGCTACTAGAACGTGTATGCTAGGTGTCGAGCAACACCGCAGTCGTGGTTCTTTAATCCCACCACGGTACGAGAGCATGTATGGGACTTCGAGGTACCTATTTGAAATGCACAGTTTTCTTTCCTTACATGCACTGAAGCACGTACACGAGTACTTAAAGTTGTCCGGCCACACTATGAGAGCTTGTACAAGGCCTACCCATCGTGTATAGTTGATCCCCCAACGCACCACTAGCACCGAATGGGGGATTTGGAGTTGAGTTTTAGACATTTATACCTTGCAAAATATGTCGGCGGTGGTGTTGGGACAATGATAACAGTGATGATCAAGGCACAAAAAGAAAAACATATTTTTTATGCGTTCTTTTTTTAAAACTTTTTCTCTTTTTTATCTAACTTTTCTCTTTTTTTATGCTAAAATGAAGGGAGGATGTAGTGAAGTAGGCTAACTCAGGTTAAGTTTGTGAGGTGGAGTGGTGTCTGGAGGCTATTAGGTGTTGTGAGTGCGCTGTTTTGGGCTGTTTGAAGTGGGCTTGGTGTCTCGATTCATGAAAATAAGTATTGCTTGGGGCTGAACTCTACTGAATTAAGAATATCTGGTTCATTGAGACATTCACACGAACACCTGAAATGCATAGTCCTGTATCTTGAAGGTCATGAATGGCTGAAATAGGGTAGTCAACGCACCTGCTTGCCGTCATAGCAGCCACATTCACCTTCTTCCCAGAATATTCCTCCAAACCATTACAATCACTCAATGGCACAACAACATTGATGTCCGAAATTCATTCACTGACCTGCTCGTGAATTGCCACGTCCAGATCAGGTTCCATATGGCGAACAATCCGCAGTTCGTGAGTTTCGGATCGAACAACACAGTCGACCATGGCGTCAATGTCGTGAGGATGGGCTTTGTTCGGTTCCAGCTTGCAATCAACCTGTTTCGATCAGGCCATGAACCAGAACTCAAACTCAGCCGTGATCATTTGAATATACTTCTGGTTTCATTAATCCAATCTCTCACTTGAACTGTCCTTTGTTCCACTCAATGGGATCCAGACCTGCAATTTGCCACTAACTCCAGAAAATTTCAAAGAAATTTTTATCTTCTAAAATTCGATTTGTATAATTGATTCGATATATTTTACTCTCTAATTCATCCTTATTATTCTTGATTTCAATTTGAAGTTCTGCCAAGGATGTTTTTAACATTTCTTTCACAAACTATAACCTTGAAAGGAACTCTGGAGTTGTTCAATTGGAGAGATGATCTTTAAAGATCTGTAGCTCCAAAAAAAAATGGGATCAGTAGCGATCGATAAATAGCAGTAGCAAACATTCAGAACTCTCTCCTCCCACGCAGAAATTATAACGAAAATTTTTTCAGCTCCTGCATTAAGAATCCCCATATCCGGTTAACTTTTCCTTCACAGTTTGGGAGAGATTGGAACCCAAACTCGTTTTGAATTACACGAAACAGTACAGATGAATTGCCAGTATCAGAAACAACATGAATCTTATATGTGGCTTCTTTAGCAGCTATCAAGTTGGTAAAATACTGGACAAGTGAAAAGATTACAGAAGCACGCAAACAGCCATTTTATTATGTTATAAGGAAATAATCAGAACTCAAATAGAAACATCCATTATGTACACACTCATCTATGGGCAGATTTACGAGTAGAGCGAGATCGAAGTGGAAAGTTGACAGGATCCTCTGAAACTACAGGAACTGGTAGAGTTACAGGAGTGCCTATAGTTGTAACAACGCCACTAATCACTGGAAGTCCAATAGCAGTGCCATAAACGCCAACACTAGGAGGTTCAGCCGATTGGTCTGATGACTGGTTGCCTGAATTCCCGGCCGGCGACATTGTTGCATTCATTTGAGGCGTCGCTGGAGCATCTCCATGACCAACAGTGGTGATGTCATGGATGCTGGATCGCCTCCGGTCTTTGTTGCCGGAGTTCAAACGGATAAAGAACTTCTGCGCATGGCTTGCCACTTGCGTAGGTGTTCTTGTCACCACAAAGTTTCGTGAAATGCTCCGCCAATCACCTTTGCCATATTTTTCAAGTCCCAGAAGAAATAGCCTATTCCATCAAATATCAGCTCGGTGAAGAAGAGGCTAATATGAAGAGAAAGAGGTGAAATTGAACAAATAACATGCATGTCACTTATATACTGAAATATTTAACAAAACACATCAAAAAGACACATGACCCAAGTACTCACAAGGCAACCAGGACAATTGGTTGTTAAAATAAAAAATCTATCTTTTTTTTCTTTTTTCTTTTTTTTTTTTGAAACTAAAAATCTAGCTTATTTGAATAGTTGAGATCTCATGCTTGTAAAACCATGAAGCATATCAAGATTATATCTAACAGAAGGGTGCTGCTATTTGAAATTTTCAAACATTATAAAAACCTTAAGAAGAGTGGGGTTGCAAAACATACTTTTTCAAACAGATCATGGATCAGCGGGAGATTTTGATGAACTTGTTCAAGCAGTGTAGTTAACTGTAGTTATCAGCAGCATCTTTAAAGAAAAAATTATGTATTATGGAAAAAATAAAGTTACTAAAATCTATGTGTTAAAATGTCAGTATCTCACTATAAACTGCTTAAATTTAGTATACAACAACAGCAACAACATCAAGCCTTTATGGCTTTATCCCACTACATGGGTCGGCTACATGAATCATTTTTCTACATTATGTCCTGTTAAGAGTAAATTTTTTTTTAAATCGAGAAAAGGACCAAAATGGTCTCTCGTTCTGAAGGATCAAAATAGTCTCCAACTATTTCGAGGGACCAATTTGATCCCTCAACTCCTTTAAATGACACTTTTTTAGTCTTGTTGTCAATTTTAAACGGAAAAATTAGATGGGCATGAGGGTATTATCGGAATAAGCAAAGAATGTTTTAAGATATCATCCCGCAACAAAACAGCATATTAATGAATCCTCAACGCGCAGCCAAGCCCGCAGTCCATCCCATAATCCCGCATCGTGGATCGCGTCTCACAACATGGATCGCGTCAATCCCGCAGTCCATCCACAGAGCAGTGATTGCATCGACCCCGCAGTCCCGCAACATTGATCCCACAATCGATCCCAGCGGTTGTCAATCACAGTCAATTTGGCCGAAGAAGCACACTAATGAAAGAAAGATGGCTACCTTCCCAACGAGCAAGCTCCTGTCGTCGTCGTTACTTCCAATCGAACAGATGAACGGCGAAGTGTGATTTCGGATCCGACAAGAAGGAACGACGTTGAAGGAGGCGAAGAAGTTATTTAGCTACTCGTTCAAAACTCTACCCATCACGCGAAGGAGGCAAAGCTGAAGAGCAAAATAGTGGAGAAGGAGAAAAGTAAATCTAGCAAATATGTCGAATCAAGGCATCTCAAAACTAATACATCTATCTTAACATTTATTCTCCTAACCTTGTCACAGAAGGTCAAATCTAATACATCTACAAATTTAGTATAATAAGATCAAAACATATGTAATAGCAATACGCTGCATAACTTGGAATCATTTAGAACATTATAACATTTACTGCTTCAACCATTTGACATAATTTGTGAACTTTTAACTAATGCATCTTCAATAATGACCTACAAATTTAGTATAATACAATCAAAACATATGTAATAGCAATACGCTGCATAACTTGGAATCATTTAGAACATTATAACATTTACTGCTTCAACCATTTGACATAATTTGTGAACTTTTAACTAATGCATCTTCAATAATGACCTACAAATTTAGTATAATACAATCAAAACATATGTAATAGCAATACGCTGCATAACTTGGAATCATTTAGAACATTATAACATTTACTGCTTCAACCATTTTGACATAATTTGTGAACTTTTAACAAATGCATCTTCAATAATGACCTGCTAGTAGTGCTAGCAGGTTGAATGCAAGACTTGTGGTGGCTGCAAGCAGTTGGTAAGAAGAAGAGCACAACTGGCAGTAAGCCAAGAGCCAGAAACAAACTAAATCAAACTAAGTATACAAAAGTGGAAGTCTGGAAGGTAGGGGACAAGATATTTATTTTTTCCCTTTCTCTAGAAGATATTTGGTTTCATATTTAAGCTGAAAGGTTCAAATATGCCAGAGAAAAAAATTAAGGACTACTTTTCAAAAGAAAAAACATGATAAAACTTCATTACATTTTCAAATTTAAATATTTGATTGTCATTGGCACTAGAAACGATATGGTATCGAGAGTCAAATTGAAATTTTATGCTATAACTAAATTCCCAACAACTGACAGTAGCATCAGAAATAAAAAGAAAATCCTTGACGATATTTATTAAACAATAATGAATAAGAATATCATCACAATTTAACTCATGCATGAATCAACAAAATATCATAAATAAGATGATAATAAAAAAGCATAACATATATCAAATAATCATGCTACAAAACAGACAAATCTGACAACATGCAATATAGACATTCAAGAAATTATTATAAAAAAAGGCTAGATGAAAAGTGAGAAGAAAAAGGTTTAGCTAAATATGTTACCCTTCATCATGAAAGATGCAGACCTCAAAATTTAATGGAAAAATAACAATAAAATTAGCTTCAATAAGTTGAGTAGATTAACATAAACAATCATCATTACACCACATGTCAAATAACACCACAAAAAATCAAAAATAAAATGAAAAAAAGATTGTTGTGAACTCGGCTAAGATTAAAAAGGTGCATTGAAATGCGTAATAGTCGGTTGGGTGGCTGGTTCAACCGAACCAGCCAACCCATCTATTAACAGCCACGACCCCAAAAAGGGGTCGATATTGTGAGTTTCGTGAACAGAGCGCCGGGTGGACAGAAGGTTCGTGCGAGAGAGCGAGGTGAGTTTCATTTTTCCAAATTTTGCAAACTATTGTTTTCAATGATAAGAATTAATCATTGCTTTTCTTTCCTACTGTTAAAGGAATGATAATTTTGGAAGAAATTTATGTGGATGAGAAGAACGATCGAGAAGAAAAGGGAAGAAGGTTTGTTGAAATTTTTCCTTCCTTTTTCTTATAAATTTCGTTGATTTATTCACGTGAACGCGAATGATATTTTCACAAAGGATAAGGAAGAGATTGAAGCGAAGAAAAAAGAATTTGGGAGAAAAAGAATTTTGGGAGTTTGAGAAGTTCCCATTTGTAAGTGAATTTCTTCTTATAAAATTTTTTATTGATATTTTGTTATTGAATCACAATTTTATTTTTATATGAAAGTTATTGTATGAATTTAAGGTTTTAGGAAGGTAGAGATCAAGTCGTAAGAGTTGATCCCGCGAGGATTCAACAAGCAGGGAAATTGATTCAAGGTTATATCAAGCATTGAAGGCCTAAAAAGTTCAAAGTGGGTAATTATAATTATGAATCTCAAAATTTTGTATTATTCTTTTAATACGATATAATATTTTGCATTATAATATTGCTTTCAAAGTTTTATTTTTAAAGACCATCACGTGTGAAATATTGAAAGATTAAATGTCTAAATAATTGTAAATATTATTACAACAAAAAATAAAATAATCAAATAACATAAATGAAATTATGTATATGAATGAAAAAGAATACATGTATGTATTAAGGAAATATGCAAACAAATAAATGACATATGAAAATGAATAAAAATGTTCAAGATAAATGAAAAAAAAGGAAAATGATATGTATGAAAAGTACAGAAGTTCACCTCCTAATGGTACTGGCCGGGGACGCTGTACTCGTGAACATAAAAAGGAAAAGGTCATGGAAATGGAAATGGAAATAAATGGAAAAGGTTGTACCTTTGGGTACATTGAGACGGTGCTCCTGTACAAATTAAATGGGAAAATGAAATATTAAAGTTTCAAAATGCTTTAAAATGTTTTAAAAGAAAATGGCCGGAGATTTATAAATTACTAAAATGAATGAAATAATGTTAAAAAATAATATGATGCATATTAAAGAATATTTATATTGATTGTTTAATAGTTACCCACTTAGTTTACACTATAAACTCAAACCCCTAAATTAATATCTCAGGTAAATCCCCAAAGAAAAAGAAATGGCTGAAAGAGAAGAATTCATCTATAGAAGACGACGTGCAAATGACAACAAGTAAAATAACTGATGAAACTGCTTAGTTTGGTTCTAGATTGATTAAAGTTTTCTTTGTGTTTAGTGTCTCTTCAGTTGATGGAAAGTTTATGTTAATGTGCTTTATTTAGAATGTGATGAATTTATAATACCGTCTAACTTTCAGTTCCCGACTCGTTAAATCGAGTATCCGGGCCAGGTCGTGACAAAATACCTATTGTTTGAGAAGAGGCACTAATAGGGCTCTTCAAGGTGATCACTTACTCGATATGAATCATCTTGTGCCTTACATGGCCTTAGCACCTCAGGAGCTTAGGTACTACCACCTCAATAAGTATATGGTTGGATCCATTTTATGCTTTTATGGTTTGAACAACCCACAGAAAGTTAGCCCATAAAATAAGGTATGGAATGGCGTATATTTAAGCTAGATAATGTATGTTGTGCTAGCAGTTAGAAAAAGCAGGGTACTTTTGGGCATGGTATAGTTAAATACAGTAGCTTGCAACAAATATACAATGAAAAAAAATACCCTTTAAAAAACAACCATAATATGATTACAGGTGAACCAGCAGATAAGAGCACAGACTACACCAAATTGAGGAACAACACATTGTTGGATAACCATGTGAAAGTTTCCAACTGTCAACAAACTGCAACATATATCTGGCTTCTTCACAGCAGTAAATCCATTTGAAGGCTCAAAAAAAGTTTCAATGAATTAACAACAATCATCATCATCCCAATATTTGTGATTAACTTTATAAATCCTTATTTTCCATTCATTTCTCCTGAGTATTGCAAGATGTGTTAGCATGTTCTTTGCAAATCCTTCTGAACTTCTTCTATCAATATTGAGGTGCTAAGGCCATGTAAGGGTGATCTCTTGTTGACTTATTCAAGTTTGAATAACATTCTTGCCAAGCAAGCATTGAACAACCAATTTTTGAACATTCACGAGTTACGGAAGTTTTATAACATCTAGTATGTGATTCCCCATGTGTTGTACGGGTTAAATTTCATTTTCTTTAGGCCAAAATTAATCGTGAGCCAAAGGAAAATTTAATAGTTTTGATTGATTTGCCCATATGATTATCAATGTTATTGACTAGCCATTTTCAGATCAACTATGTGTTCATGGAGTCTTTATTTCCTTCTTGCCAGAGGACTTTGACAATGTCGATGAAGCTTAGTTTATCTTTATAACTGGAATGGTGCCTAAAGCATGTCAATATCATCAAAGTCACTTAATGATTGCTCTGGTCACTCTTCAGTGATAGTCTAAAAGTTATCATTGACTTTCAACCTGACGCAATTAATGGTAAGAAAGAAATTGATCCTTGTATATAGACAAAAGATCAATGAAGGAAAACAAAAGACCCCATGCAACATAAAAATCGATGACAAAGGGTAGCCTTCAAAGCTTAGTTGGGCCAAAGATTGACCATGTGGTCTTCAATTTAGCAGGACCAAAGATCAACGGTTCATTAATTATTCATTATATTCTTTTCAATTTTTTAAAGAAGTTAATATTTTATCCTCTTTTTATTTTCTTTATTTTCTTGCTATTCTCATTAGTGGTTAGGAGAATGATGGCAGCAGCCAATTCTCTACTGTGGGAAATAGTCAGATCAGATGCATGGGCAACCTTAGACTCGCTTAGCAACCACAAGACAATAATCACTTACTAATGATTTGTTAGTCACCATTGAATACTTGATCATGTGTAATGCTTGGCCAAAAAGCAATCAATTCAATATCCAAACCAAAGATCAACAAAGGGAGGAGAGATCTCGTACTAAAACAAAAATCAACGATAGAGAGAGAAGCCCATTTACATCAAAGATCAATGATGCTAGGTCTTCAAATTAGCCAAACCAAATATGGATGCACTTCAATTATTCACCTGTATTTGCACATAAGAATTGTTGAGAGAGGAAAGACTAGTTTCATACCTGTCCTTGAGCAAAAAAGTCACCAAATTCGAGGTTGCAAAGTGTTATTTTCTCAAACTGGAGGACGCAGGGCTCAAAAGAGGTAAGAGTGTACTTGTGCTTGCACTTGCTAAAGTTGGAGAGGATTTTGATGCAAGTGAGAAAGAGATAAATTGCAAAGGATGAGGGGGGAATACAAGAGTAAAGCATCCGGATGAGAGGAAAAATGAGCTGAAAGAGTCATTGGAAGAGTGAAACAGCGCGTGACTGGGAGCAAAAGCGAGTGGCATTGAGGAGGGCAAGAGCGGTGCAGTAGACACAAGAGAAATAAGGAAATCATAGATAACCATAGTGATATGTGCTAGGTTGCTTTCTATGGGAGAGGGAGATTGCATAGGATGTTCTCATACTTTCATAGAGGGTGGATGTGGTGATGCATAATCATGTGAAGGTGATGTGAAGATCATGCAAGATTGGCGTGATGCTTTTTGAGCTCGAATGTGAAGGAAACGAAGAAGTTAATGATTTGAGTATGTTTTTTGCATTATAATTGTTTCTGTAATATAGATTGCCTTTTTATCAAACAAAACTAAAGCTCCACTATCTTAAGATGGCAAAGAATTCTATTTAACATAATCTTTAACAAAAGAAAAGGTTGAATGTCTTTCAATCAAAGTTGCGAGTTATATGAAAAGTATTATTACATAATATGACAACATAGATTGAACATAACACGACAAGTCATTGAGAATGAATAATGAATAATTGGAAACTTATTAAAGTCTAGATCAAACATGATTTTTCTACATCTTCCGAGTCAAGAATGTTCTCCAAACTATGATACTTGTCAATTAATCTTAGATGATTTTCTGCAACCAGTGAAGAATTCTACAAGTAATAAAATTGTATTTATACTGTTGATAACAGGCAGCCCTCTACCTAAATAATGTCCTCTTCATACATTTTAAGCCCCTACTTTGGCAAAAACATTATTGAATTTAGCATGACAATCATATTAGTGTACTAAATTCATAACCATAAATGTGTAATATTTCTACTTATGACTTCGTGCCATAAAAATGCACAACAATAGAGTCAATCAAGATGAGAAAACAATTTTAAAGATAAATCATACTTTGGTTTCTATGCTTGAAAAAAAAGTTGCATTTTGATCCATGTTTCTTTATGTCCCTGTATGGTTCCCTCAAGTTTACAAACATGCTTACATTGGTCCATTTCTATTAGTACCATTTAAACCAATTAAAATTGAAAAAATAAATAGCCAAAGCCATTTAAGCCCCATTATAATATTTCTTTATAAGAGAAGTTTAATTCAGACACTTAGAACAGCACACTTCTAACTCCGACCATGCTAGTGAGGGGTTGCAACCATATCCCCTCTCACAATCCTCATTGATGGATCCCACTACACTTAGTTGCACTTGATGGCATGCTATGTCTGACAATTAGATAGTTAAAACCAATAGACCCACTGGTTTTAGCCGGCCGCCACCAATATTGCATAAGATTCAAGAGCATGTGACTACTATGATACCTCCACGTGATTAAATGGACTATTGTTGCATCGTTTGAGCAAAAATGATGCAAAATATGAAGTATTTTCATTAGGCTTCGATTTAGCTTCTCAAAAACACCAATGATTGACTCCACCCATGAACTTAAGCGTTTGGGTTAAAAATGGATTGCACCACCAATGAATCTAACCCAATTGTGACCAGATTTTATACAATCCCAAAGAAGACAAGCTAATAGAAAAGTACAACCAAGCTTATCCAACATGCTAGTCAGAGCTCACTAATATTGTATGTAAGTATGGATGTGTATATATAGATATATGGTCATTTACACCAAAGGAAAAAGGTTTCTTACTGAGACAAATCTGTCTAGAGCGCTCATTCCATAAACACCATCAGCAGTATTTACTCAGAGAAACTGATAAGGCAGATAAAATCACTATTCAATTTCTTTATTGATAAACGCAGTCTAAGGTAGAATGCCCGGAGGTAAACCATAATAACAAGTGCTAGTTCTAACAATTGCCAAAAAAAGTTGAACTTGACAATAAAGTAACCAAAGCAGTCCAAAATACCAACTTATTGCCTATAATGAATATTTAGGAAAGTAAAACATGTGCAAAAAGATTCAAAGCTATAATCAAAACCATGAAAGTACAAAAATACTTATAGTGGCCTTGTTAATAAAGTTCAAGACGATGATTGCACGCACCGGTGCTCCTCCTCAGTCCATGCTATACCCTTCCTCCTCTCCTGCTCCAACCTCGTTCCTTTGCTGCACTCATGACCATTTCCCTGCCCGCTCTTTTTACTACACACTCCATCATTGGCTGATTCAATAGTAGTTTTTGAAGAAGGATAGCAAGGTAAAGGAATCAAACCCGACTCAATAGCACCAACGTCCTCTTCCAAAAGCTGGTAATGATGCATAATCTCCTCTAAAGTCTTCATCGGCACATCTACTGCAATTTTCTCCCACCGAACATCCCCATCTTCTGCATAAACAGCCAAAGCATTCTCAAACGCCTTCTCCTCCTCCCAGCTCCACGAGTAGCTGCCGCTTGCCTCGTCCATGGCCATTACAAGAGCGTATCAACCTATTCTCCACCCTTTTCTCCAATCCTCTTATATGGGTGAGCACAAAAAGCAATTTTTTGGATCTGGTTCACTTAAAAAAAAAAAAAAAAAAAAAAGCGACTGAGACAGAACAGATAAAATGCGCAGGAAGATAAATAACGTCGTCAGAGGATAGATGCCACGGCACTGCCCGACTGCCGCAAAGCGCCAAGAAACAATTGCACCAAATGGCTCAAAGGCTTGAAAGATTACAGAAGAAAGAGAACATGATGAAGTAAGGTCCCGCGCTCCAAAACAAACAGCTTCCCAAAAATGCAAGAAGACCGCTGCTGCTGACCAAATGATTGAGGTGAATAATTTACAGAGGGGAAATTGCTCCAAAAGGGTATTAGGGCTTTGGGGTCGGAAATGAAGAGCGAAGAGAGAAAGTTGGACGAGGGTCACCATTCTCGAAGAGTGTAGGCAACTGAGGCGGCCATAGAAGGGGTTTTACATTAAAACCCTCGTAGCAAAAACAAAAACCTAAAAAATCTCACAACTTGACCATGATTTTAAATTGAACGGTCGAACTTATGGATGTTTCACACCAAACTCTGGCGGTAAAAAAAGATCATATCTTTGCGCGCGAGCTTCATCAATTTTTTATCTTTCGGTTTTCAACTTTCCATTTCTTCTATAGATTCTAAATCTTTTCTCCATAAACTTTCTGCATTACAGGTTCTGTGCAAGTAAGAAAAAAAAAATATAGAATTTTACCACAACTACCAAAACGAAAATGACGTTTTGACAAAATACACCCCGCTGTGATATGAATTGAGCGATTAGATGCGTTGTCCAAAACAAATGAGTATCACGTTTCAATTAAGAACAGTTTTTATGGATCGACAAAAGAGGCTGTTACACTTGTTTGAGACAGCTTAATTTCGCCATTTCAATTTTGAAACCGTACTTTTTATTTTAAATTTTTATGTGTCATTTTTGTAGAAATATTTTTAGAGGGCTCTTTTTTTTGCACTGTTTTCAAAAGTTTTCTAATATTAACTTCTACGTTAGAAACTCATTCTCTCAAACAAAAATTATCTTTAAGAAAAGATACAAAATATTAAAATTGATACGTCATAAAAAAATTATCTTGATCGAGCATGAATCTCGAGGCAAAAATCAAGTTGAAAACTTCAAAAATTAAATCAGAGAGCATATGAACTCTGATTACAGCAAACTTACAGTCAAAATGAGCGTCTCGGAAATACGAACCCAACGACACCAAATTCAACTCAATCCGAGCCCAAATGAGTCCAAATCAAGGACCAGAAGCGTTGTTGGAAGATTCGAACCACAATTTGGATTACCAAATGGTTTCCAAAATTGACAAGCTTGTAATCAAATCGAGCGGCTCGACGATAAGAATCCAACGAGCCCAAGATCACCAAATTCCGACATCATTAAGGCCTTCAAATGCCTGATAAATGGTGCATGATCAAGGGATTCAATATTGGCCGTCCATTCGACCACTCAACATTTACCCCTGATCTCTTGCTTATTTACGGGTCATGCCACTCCAAAAAATCTATAAATAGACCCCTCATTTCTCTTGAGAGGGGGAGGAAAACAAGAAGAAGGAGGAGAAGAAGAGAAGAATATTAGGAGGGAAGAACTCCTCCTCGACCACAGCCACCGAAATTCTGTCCGAACGACGTCGAAATTCTGCCCGACCTCTCCAAGCGACGCCGGGGTTTCACCTAAAATCCAAGTAACATAAGAGTTCTGTCTGAATACCATCTAATGCTGGAGTTCTCCTCGGCCACTAACTGACGGCGAAATGCTACCCGACGCCAGACCTCCACTCTTCGCTAAGTTTCTACCTGACGCAGGACTTCTACCGGGTATTAGACTATTGTTGGACATCTATCTGATATTGGATTTATGTCCATTGTTGGACTTCTACCTGACACTGTCCTTCTGACATTCATCGTCAGACAACAGTCCTTCCAACCTCCGTCGCCAGCCGACTACGGTCCGCCTGACTTACGTCGCCCACCAACTACAGTCCTTCTGACCTCCGTCGCCCGTCAACTACGGTCCTCCTGACTTACGTCACCCGCCGATTACGGCCCTTCTAACTTACGTCACCCATCGACTACAGCCTTTCCGACCTCCTTCTCCCATCAACTACGGTCCTCCTAGCTTACGTCATCTGCATACTACAGTCTTTTTGACCTCCGTCACCAGACTATGGTCCTCCCGACCAAACGAAGACGTAAATAGTGATTCTTTGTATTCACATCATGTAATATACTCTATAAAATGTACATCAAGTTAAGGCCTTCTCCTAAGAAAGGGCATCATTTGAAATCAACTGCAATACTAGTGGATTCATTCAAACTGGGCTAGACCCTGTGGTTTTTCCCCCTTTTCAGGGGTTTTCCATATAAAAATCTTGGTGTCTCATTTATTGATGTATCCTCTCTCTAATCTGATTGCATGCTGGATTTTCGTACAACGCTAAGACGCTAAATTTTCTATTTTTCTACCGCCACGAATATTCCTGGACGCAACAAAAAACGAAGCCTAAACTATATAACCAAAGAACAAAATGATAAATTATGATGATTGATATGATATGAAGCTTAAATTAGATTTAGTCTTCATTTATGATAGTTTTCATATTGTTTTATAAAATAATTATTTAGTGAAAAAATTTTGTGAAAATATATATATATTCGAAGCCTCTATCTCTTCTAGTGCTAATATCATAAGCTTTTATGAGCTTCCGCATGCAGCAATGTAACATTTTTTACATAATAAATTTATTTGTGTGAGAAATATAATATTATGAGAGTATTAATAGATTTTGATTAAGTGATGAACTATAAAATGGATTATAATATTTTTTTTTTACATGAAACTTTTTTTCAAAGTAAAATAAATCATGAAGTATACCCTAGTTACATAGTTTTCAAGCTCTTGTCCCACATGTGGGATAAAGTTTTTACTGATTTCTAAGACAGTTTTTTAATATTAAAAAATTTTAAAAATAGAATTTTTTTTTTGTTAAAAAATTGTTTTAGAAAATGATAAGAAAGTTGTCTCAAATGAAACCTAAACATCGAAGGAAAATCAAGCCCTGTAAGTTCAGTCCATAATTTGGTTCAATAAGATTCGATTATTGATATGCTTACCAAAATAAGTTAAAGTTAATTAAGGGAGCTGATCAAGCTTTTAATCTAATTAAATTAAAACTTCGTTTGGGATGGCTTTCTTACGGGTTCTTAAAGCAGCTTTTTAGTATAAAAATTAAAAAATTTATACTAAAAAGTTGCTTTAAGAAACACTAAGAAAGTAGTCTCAAACGAAGTATAAATGAGGATTATATAAATATCACTCAAAACTCCTCTATTTAGAAAACAAACACTTATTACAGTTTCTTGAGAAGATGGATTAATCATAATTTGGTAGAGTACAAATTTGTCACTTTTTTCTTCAAAGCTCAGTGGAATATCACTCTAAAGCTTTCTATTTTTTTCAAATCCCTTGAACGGATCTGTTACCATTCGGAGCTGATAGAATTGCTGCAGAAAGAATTAGCTGAACAGCAGAAAACAGGTAGAAACAGCATATTGTAATATTATTTCAATCTGAAAACTCCATTACAAGATACAGGAAATATATATTATCTCTTCAAATCTGAATAAAAAACTGAGTTTGTTATATAACAAAGGATATGATTGCTGGAGGAAAAGTTCTGTAAAGGCAGAACAGAGAACCTCATTATTGTATTTTTTGAGAGAACTCATCACTTATCAAAAAGCTTCTTGTGATCAAACAACCCATTTAGCAAGAATGCAGGTCAGTTTTTCTCTTGAAAGAGGCTGCTTTTCCATTGATCAGTAAATAAATTAGCAATTCCATCAGGAAAATTCTACTAAAACTTTAAGAAGAGTAAATAACTACCTTAGTTTGATACTCATTAGCTCCAGCCTGAATAAAAAGGTCTCTATCAGATTGCAGATCGCCAGCAGATAATGCAATTATGGGAGTCTTTACCCCCAATATACGTAGCAATCTTGTTGCCTGAAATCAACCAAAGCTCGATTAGTTATTATAATTACAGAACTTATTCAATCAGAACTATCACAAATATGAAACATTCACTTCACATTATATAAACTGTAACACATTCTCTCCCAAATGAAATTTTCAAGTAAACATTCTTCTATTAATTTGCACATCAATCAAAACATTCTACTTTTATTTCATATAAAATTCCAATTATATGAAAAAAAAAAAAGTTCCATAAAGCTAGCGCACAGCACCTCGTGGCCATCCATGATGGGCATCTCTTTGTCCATGAAGATTAGATCACAGGTGTTTCCCTTCTCAAAATAATCCACTGCCATTTCTCCATTCTGCACCTCATGCAACTCCGCATCTAATCCCTTCATAAGTTTTCTCATTAACACCTACAATTCAATGAAATCAAGTTGGAAAAGATGGTGAAAAAAACCAATAAGGAAATCAGCTCATCATAATTTTGCATTTTGACTAATTCATGATAAGCTACAGAAGTATATGCTATTGAAATGAACCAAACTTGTTATTCTCTCTCTTTTTTTTCGCATTTTCTGATTGCTCTACTCAATACCTTACCAATCCATTAAATGGAAAAAAAATAAAAAAAAATAGCACTGCATGTCAATTTCTGCATGCAAGAACAAATCTGGATTTATGGGATTGAGAGCAGGAATATAAGGAACAATTTCTGCACCCTGTTGATATCCATGTCCTCCACCAGCAAAATTTTCTTGGAACTGGAAGTCATTGCAATGCAACCTTGCCTTCAGTGCTTGTAAAATGAAGAATAGAAACAGTAAGGATACAATGTTTTTTGTGTAAACCATTCATTATATAACCAATTCTTCCAAGTGGCAACCGATGTTTCAATATCACTTTCTCCCAATTGAGTAAGTCGTCAAATAATCACCAATTTCCCCACTACTACTTTAGTCTTATTTAGTAAACTGCAACTATTAATAACATGACCAAAGTGATTGACTTGTCATAATCACATCATCATCATTGTAGCAAATTTGGTTGCTTGTTGTTAGCATAAACGTTTTAAAAATAGAAAAAATTTGTTAGAAATCATTTGGTTGGATGAAGATAAATAATGATTTTAAACGGTGTGGATCCCTCCAAACATAATAATTACATTTTTATGGATGAAATGAGTGAAAATAAAATTATAATTTTTGAAAGAATGTTTTCTACTTGATACAATCAAATGAGCTCTTGGGATCCCACCGGGTTTAGCTGGGCTGGTGGGCGAGCATGGTTGGGAACCCCCCAACCCATGTTCGAATCCTCTCTCATGCAGCGCGACCACTTAAATGGGGAGAAAATAACTACAGGTCCTGCTCCTGTGGGGCTGGTTGCTGGTAGGCTCGCCGAGGGATTAGTTGTGCCGCTAAAGGCCTCCTAAAGGGGGTGATAGCAGGTAGATACCCCCGTTTCTTAAAAAAATATTGAGCTCTTGGGTTCATTGGTTGGTAGCTTAAAGTTAGAAAAAAAAATGTTTTGAAAAATAGTGGCGATAAGTAACCGAGTTAACTATAATTGGTTACAGCTTCAGCCCTATTAAATTTTCATTCTCCGTTCATTTATTTACAACGTTGCATGAGGTGCTACCTCTATTTTTCACAAATCTTTTTGCACTTAGTCATATTGCCATTGATCTTTCAATTTCTTTTCCGATTCTTTCAAATAAATTGTATCTATTTTATCCACCCATCATAACGGTACCTTCTTCCCTCAATTATATATGGTTAAATTATTCAAGTTTTTTTTCACTATCTTATCTTCCATAATTATTATACTCTTGCTATCTTTTTAATATAATAATTTCTCACTCCATCCTTCATAATTTTATCGCACATCCATACTAAGAGAATCAAATAATATAACTCTTCTATGATTGAAGAGTATCCATGGTTTTGAAAACAAAAACGTGACAAAAGGTTGGACTGGTCCTCTAACATAATCACCGTGATTAAAAAATTGGATTTGCATGGAACCACGATCAACTCAGGCTCCATTTGGGACAGCTTTTTTATTGCTTCTTAAAACAGATTTTTAGTACAAAATTTAAAACTCCATTTTAAAAAACAATAAAAAATCATCCAAACGAAGCTTTCTAAAAACCGGAGGTCAAACAACACAACCCTTAAAAGGGGTAGTTGAATCGGTTTGAATAGAAATTGCAATGTAAAGATGGAGTTGGAATGCACTATTTATGAACTTATTTCATACATAATGCTACATTTCATGATATATATATTATATATAGCACATTATCGAACATTTATTATCTTTATTAAAAATATTACAACATCACAATATAACTCTCATTGGTTTCCTATTGAACCTTCGAACATTTACTACCATCGGTTCAATGTCCGGTCCAGTCCTACAAACTATTGTGATATCACAAAATCTTACGATTGCATAAAGAATTTCTTGAGGTTTCTCATGCTCTCTCATGGTAGCTGAAAAAAGATCAATTTCTTTCTTTTTGGCAGCATCATATAATGCTTAAGTAGATCTTGTGAAAGATTTTTATGGGACCATTTTTAGCTGGCAATTGTTTATCTTAAGTTAATCTTTGAGTTGAAACCAATTGCTTAAGAAAGATGTTTGTGACCATTTCCATTTACTTTACCTTGAATATCAAAAGTAGTACAGTGACCCAACTGGCAGAGTTCCCAATATAGGAGAAGAAAGGGAAAGCCTATTCTCTCTATTATTCTATCCAACATTTGGCCTACTTTTAGCACCAAAGTCTGAAAATTTTAGACATATTGATACTGATTTTTTTTAAATGGAAGTTTGCTGCAAAGGGTAAAAATAAGATTAGATTATTCTCCCATAAATGCATTTCTGTTACCTCAGATGCAGTGCACCAAATAAGAAATAGAAGAAAACTTCTGATCTACTTAAACTGCTATTTATCATTTAGGAATCTGATGGGATAGCTCAGCATTAATACATATTAGTGGAAACTATCCAAATAATCTCTTACATCACAATCAATCCTATTCTATTATTAAAAGCAAAATACTACAATATTGAGTCGATGTATTCAGAGTTGCTTCTGAAGCCAGTTGCTAGTCTGAGAAGAGTTTCAATAACCAATAAATTGGCAACTACCACCTTACAGGAATTTTTATATTGAGCCCATAGTTTTATTCATCATTATACAAATGATTTGCAAAACGGCTGTTAAAAACTTAAAATCATTGCTTTCTTCTTAAAAACATGAGAGAATTTTAAGCTCATGACATTTTAGAGCTTTATTTTGATACTAATAAGCATATGATTGAAATTACTAATGCCTATATTTAGGCTTCGTTTGAGACGGTTTTCTTACTGCTTTTTAAAAAAGCTTTTTAATATAAAAATTTTTTGAACTATAAACTTTTTTATTAAAAAGTTCCTTTAAAAATAATAAAAAAGTCGTCCTAAATAAAGTCTTAGGTTTCGTTTGAGACGGCTTTCTTACTGCTTTTTAAAGCAGCTTTCAAGTAGAAAAAATTAAATTTTTGTAGAAAAAATTGCCTTAAGGAGCAGTAAGAAAGCCGTACCAAACGAAACCTTAGTGATTTCAGGATCTAAGGTTGGCATTAATTGTGATGCATAATGCCAAATCATTTGTAGACCCATGGTTGTTATGGAAAAGCTTATGAAGATCAAATGGCTGCAAGCAACTAAGAGATTGTTATAGTCAATTGAGTCAATAGGTTCAATAAATTTTTGAACTAGATTTTGCTACACCTTTAGCTCATGTTCTTCAAAAAATCCTCCTAGTTCTTCAGATCTTATCTTTCCCAGAGCCTGAAATAAAATTCTCTTTACATAAGATGTATTACTTTGGTTTTACTTTTTAAGGATTTACCTTTCTATATGTTATTAGATAGTTTTTTGTAAAATCTGCCAAGTATAGCTAGCAACAATAAATTTTGAAGATATCAAAGAAGTTCAGGCCAAACAATTGAATAAGAAAATGATTATTCCATTAGGACGAGACTCCATTTTTTTAAATTAATGAATATTAATTCTATAAGAAAAGCTTTGGATTAGGATATTTTGAACTAAATTTAATATGAATTACATGCTACGGAGAGGGATGGTCCAACAGAGATCATTGAAGCTCATGTTGGGAGAGTCAATGAAGGCCGGTCGCCATTCGCTGAGGTTGGTCATAGTGAGTGTAATAACTTTGAATTAATTTTGCCTAAATTCCAAGAATTTGGTTGGCTAAGCACTGCGGCACTAGGTGGACAGCGTCAAGGCATTGAGCTCTCCTGCACATTTGTGAAAAATGAATTTACGTTGTGACGTTGAGTCCAAAACAGTGCAAACACCACTGGAAAATCTTCTATTACCGGCGGAAATAGGCAATTTTCCGGCTAAAATTAGGTTTACAACAGATTTTTTTATGCCGATATAAATCTCATAGGAAATACAAACCAACAGTTTATTTCTAGCGGAAAAGTTTTTTCGGCGGAGTTCCACTAAATAGCCGAAAATTATCGACTCGTAAACCACAAGAGAACCACCAGAGATTTCAAGTGGTATTACCAACGGTAGGGGTGTCAATTCGGGTCGGCGAGTCTGGTTTGGGTCAAACATGAGTTGACCCAACTTTAAACGGGTCAACCCGAACCCAACCCATTTTTGCAAACGGGTTGGCTATTTCAACCCGGACCGACCTGCGAGGGTTGTCGGGTTGACACAACCTGACCGGATTTACGAGATTTAGCCGAAGAAGTGCATGCGAGTTGAGCTCCCGTTGATGGTCGCTACTTATAGTTCCAATTCAAAGCCGATGGCGAAGCAGCGGCAACGACGAATCAACGACAGCTGCGGCATAACTCATGAGAAAACGCAACGCGACGATGACCTGTCGGGCAACGCACGAGAAGTGACCGAAGAGATGGGAGTCGGCAACGCAGGCATTCGGGCACTCGACACAGGCAAGGCGGGCAACAGACACAGGTCAAGTTGAACCCAACCCATTTCACGAATAGGTCGACCCGAATCTAACTTTTTCTGGGTCTGATTTTGAGCCGTGTCAATAATTAACACCTCTTACCAGCATCAACAATCGTAGCTATTTTCCTACGGGTCGATCGTCAAAAACCCGCTAGTAAATTTTGACATTTTTTTAAATTGTTCAGACACCTTAAGATATTGAAGTTTATGGCGGCTAAGCCTCGTAAACTTGTAGCAACTTTAAAAAAAATGTCAGCCTCCCGTATGTCTGACCACATTTTCACATTTGGTACCTGCATTAACTGAATAATATAAACATAATAAAATGCACTAACACGATATTCACAATCAACATATGCTCAGATAATTCAAAATATAAAATTCAAAATAAATAAACTTTAAAACAAAATAAAACATAAACTTCAACAACATAAACTAACTTTAAAACATAAAGTTCAACTTTTCACATCCATAGGCTCTCAAACAAAAGCTAGTTCTTCAAACTCCAACTGTCCAACATCTTTAATATTAAATTAAATCTAATCATCGTTCGATTGTAATAACCCTTATGTTGACTTTGCTAAATATTTTTTCTGGAGTCAATATAACTCCAAATTGCAAACCGTTTTCGCCCTAGCACTGAGATTGTAGTACTTTAATTGTATAATTTTTTTTTTGAATTTTTGGGTGCTTGTAAAAATCCTTAAAAAATTGATACTTATCGGTACAAGTGAGGATTATTTTTGGGACCGCCATGTATCCGTTTTAAAAATTTATTTTACCATTATTTTTTAAATAAAATATATTATTTTATGAATATTTTTCTATAATTTTTAATATCCAAAATATATTTATATAAATTTTCTATCGGAAATTGAGTAAATTAAGTTATTATACTAAATTATATTTTAATATTATATTAAAATATATTAATGCATTATTTAAGAATTTTTTTCCTTAACTTTCGGCTGAAATATAAAACAGAGAATAGTTTAGAGAAATTAAGAGAGAAAGTGAGAAAGAGAAAAGAAAAATGTATTTATATAAATTTTCTATTGGAAATTGAGTAAATTAAGTTATTATACTAAATTATATTTTAATATTATATTAAAATATATTAATGCATTATTTAAGAATTTTTTTCCTTAACTTTCGGCTGAAATATAAAACAGAGAATAGTTTAGAGAAATTAAGAGAGAAAGTGAGAAAGAGAAAAGAAAACTTAGGTTTTGAAGGTTACGGTGCAATTTTCATCTATTGATGATGTTGGGAGATTTGCTTATTTCACTGTAAGGAATCTTTATCCTATTTTTTATTTCAAGGATTTTGTGTTTTTGATTTTTTTCGATCAAATTTATATTTTCGTTACAAAAAAATGAGGATAATTTTATATTGATAAAACTTTCATTGCGTAATTTATATGTTATAGAGATTAAGATTATGAACATTTTGAGTATTTATTTGAGATTTTTTATCGGGTGATTTTAAAATTACAATGATTTTTGCCAACTCAAAAAAATTATTTTAACATATAAAAATAATGATTTAATTTAACAAAAGCTTCAATTTTTTTTAATGCAATATCTTATAATATAGTTAAATTCTGAAAATATGAATTTTTGCTCGGTATGATTTTTATTATCTGCCGTGAGAATATTTTGACGCTTTCTGATTTAAGCTCAATTATGTTTTATTTACTACAATGTATTGAAAATGAATATGAATATGTGATTGAATTGAGTAATAGCTAGTTACTATTATTGTTATAATATTGTGATAAAAATGTACGTGTAAGTAAAAGATAAGTAAAGACTGGTTGACTCGTTGGTTGGTTATTGATTGACATGTATAGGATGGTGGGCTGATGTACTTTCTTTTAAACATTATAATTTAGTGTTATCCTCTACTGATTTCTGTGATATTGATTGAGAGTTTATAAGGAGATGATTATTGTGTTGATTGGTAAAGAGTAATTACTCTGTTTACTGAGCCCACGATTTACTAATATTGATACAATACTACTGAAAAATATCATGATAGTTAAGACTTCTTACTTGTTTAGTATAACTATTAAATGCATGCCTTTGAGACATTATTCTTATTATTATATGAATTTATTACAACTGCACATATTTACTCTTATTGTATTATTCTACTGCTTCTGTCACCATATTCTTATTGTATACTATTTGATACTGCTGAATCACTATACAGATACTAAGTATAAGATATGCTGAGCACATGATATATAATAACTGGATAATATGGGTACACTCATATATGATTTTATTATATTGATTTGATTTTGTCACTCTTTATCAATGATTTAAGGTTATCACTCTATATAATTTCTATTTGGATTGCAATATTTATATGAAAATTGCTTTAGTGATTTGACACTCAAACTGATTTGTTTTTATTCGTGTCATACAGTTTTAATATTTATGTATTGATTCACTGATCATATGATTGCTACTATTATGATTTGAATGTTAATATGCATATTACTTTTTTACTATGCTTTGAATTTAGTTATAGGTTTTGATGACCTGTTGGATTTTTTAGCTCATTATATGTGATCTACATGATTTCAAATTAGGACAAGGGAGCATAAGTGTAAAATTGATCAAGATTCCTCAGGTTATATATATATATTTTATTTTAGCTATTATTTTATACTCAAAACAGGATATGTATGCGATAATTATATAGATCTTAAGTATTGCATATAATTTTTGTGAAAGAATATAGATGTGTATATTGATGTTTTGAATTATAAAATCTATATTGTTGTTTATTACTCATAGATGCATTAGATAGTTCTGGTTGTTATTTATTAAAATATAAATGAATAATTCATTAAAATTAGATTATGAGGTATCACAATCTCCTCGCTGTCTTGTGATTCATGCACAGGCTCCTACTGTAGCAATTGACAGCTTACAGGACGTTTGGAGCTGCAGCCAACATAGGACGTTATATGGGATTAAAGGAATTGAAGCATATATGTTGAAATGAGGAGTGGGTAGAAGGAAATAAGGCTCATACGACATAACTTTTATGCGATCATTCCGTGGGTAACATGTCGAACTTATCAAATATCGACAACATTTTTTGCGCCTATAGACTTGCCAAAAATTCCGGTGCTCAAACCACGGATTATTATAGGTGGTCAATCCACCGTAATTTCCGGCGGTCCCCCCAACCGCTTGAAATTATGCCGGTATTTGATGAATTTCATATAGCGGACGCTAGGTTTGAAAATTTATTATTTAAAATAATTTATAAAAGCATTTTCTCTTAAAACCTCACCTCACCCTCTCCCCCTCTCTCATTTCTTCCTTAGTTGGGTGACATAAGAAAGAGAAAGTGAGAGAAAAGGAAAGAGTGAAGGAGAAAGGAGGAGAGGGGTTTAGGTCGATATTTTTTGTCGATGCAGTTTGGAAAGTGTTCTGATTATGGTAGGTAACCTTAAACTTACCTTTATTTCCAATGATATCAAGTTTTGTTTATTTTTCTCCCTTATAAAATCAATAAAAATACAATATCTCTCGTTTTAATGATTTTTCACTGCATAACTTTGGATATGTGATATATATCATCATCCTCAGCATATTGATTGATTAATATTAAAATTCACTGAATGGTTTGTATATATGTAATTTTAATTGAAATATGTAGTATAAAATTATCAAAAGCCAATATATTGCAATTGAACATAAAATATACAACATACACATTTTCTCTTTGTTTAGTTCAACATGCATTTTTTTTACATATTATAGGCATATTGATAAGCATAATGATAATTACATTGATTGTATATGATGCTTGTTATTATGATTCATACAATGTGAGATGTTTGTAAAGTCAAGAAAGATTGGTTGGAAATGTTTAACTGATTCAAGTTGGCTGGAAATATGTTATATTGCACATGAAAGTGGCCCGACGGGCTTTCCTTTAAATAAAATTTGTGGTGTAATCCTCAATAATATGAAGAGGAATGTATAATGAGATTGATATGATATGATATGCAAACAAATAAGAAGTGACAACTTCTTATATAAAAGTCATCTAACCTATGACTTATGAAATATGATATGAGATTGATTTCTGGTAACATGACTAAAATGATTGAGGCTGCTTCTTGTAGGATTGGCCTATAGGACGTGATACATGAAAAATATCATAGGTAGCCATATGTTCTATCTTGTTTGTATATGCATATGAATGAGTATACATGATAAATTGCATAAGTGATACGATATATACATTATACATGAAATGAATGATATAAGCATATGAGGTAACTGATAAGCTTAATAAAATGACACATTATATACATGAACTATATAATATATGTGCTATACATGTCATATAATGTTAATGTTATAATACATGCATACACATACCGCCGTATGTCACCACATATAAGATTGATATAATTGATAAGACTAATAATTGATACATTGCACTTGATATAAATAATGATATACATGCATATGATGTACACACATATAATAGGCATGTGTAATGATTTATATGAAATAATACATGAACTATTTGTAACTAAAGGATATAATAAATGACATGATGTATTAATCTTTTATATGGTTACTGATTATTGATTATAAATCACCTTAGTTACATTGATCTTCATAACTCATATGAGATGATATTGTTCAGATTGATTGTAACATATTTTTACATTTATATGTTTACATTGATATTGATGAATGATTACATGTATATTGCTTTAGTTGTCTTGTATTAATTACCACTACAGGAAATTCACTAAATATCGGAGATCTGACCGACGCTATTTACCAGCGGTTGGAAAGCTACTAAAAACTAATTAACTGCCAAAAATTCTGGTGGTCAAATGACCGCCAAACAAACTGCCGGTATATTCTTACCATGACGCATTTACTGGCGGTTTAGCTGCCATTTTTAAGTTACCTATTTCTGGCGATTACAACCCTCGAAAATGCTGCCGGTAAGTGCCCTAAAATCGAATCTCTGTTCTCGTTCTTCCTCATTTCATTTGTCTAGAGAATGCCCATGACACCTAGCCAATCTTCCTCCCTAGCCTCGGCGATGCATAACTAACCTTCCGCCCTAGCCAAATTCCGACTATCAACCTTCATCTCCATCTCCTTATTATTTTTTATTTCATCTACATCAAATATGTCTTAAATCTCATCTGTTAGATGATTATTATTTGATGGCTCTCAATTGTTAGAGAAATCCCGATTGTATTCCAAACTTTTATGAGATTATCTTGAGGTTATTTCCAGCTTCAATAAATAATCACTTTAATTTTTTAAGGATCCAAGCAAGTCTAAATATGTTTTTAAAAACACATATGATATACTTTAATCTTAAAAGGGCATGAAAGAGATTTATGCTTTTCATTTCACTAAATTGTATTGTATTATTACATTTTTTTGTGTGATTAGAACTTATTGATTTGTAAACTTATACACTTTGTGTTCTCTATTCATTATATTTTTGTAAATTATAAATCAAAACTTAAAAAAAGATAACAACAAACTTTTATCAAACTATTATTTAAATACAAACAAAATTCCTTTGTATGCTTAAACAAACTAAAAGGTAGGAAAAAAAATATATCTCACTTTAGATTGCTTGTTAGGACAACCAACTTTGATCTTATGTTAGAAGCATTATTTTAATTTGAATGAGTTAAATGTTATATGTGTATACTTTAAATATAAAAATTGAATGAGTTTGACAGATATGTTCAAATGTTGTGATGGTTGATTGTTCTATAATGATGAGGATGATAATAATGAAGATGTGAAGATGATGTGATATTTGATGAATATTTAGGTGCCTTGTAATAAGAGATCTTTAGATATTTATTACCAATCACTTTTTTGTAAGTGGACATGCTTATAAAGGGCTGAAAAGGGGAAAAATTAAATAAATTTCTTACTAATCAAATTTTTACTGTAGATCTTGAGGAAGATGATATTAGGATGTGAACTTATAATTTGTAGTAGATGATTTTATATTGCTTTTGAGGAAGTATGAGCTGATTTGAGTAGAACTTGGGCGATTTGAGCGGAGCTTGTGTTTAATTTTGAAAAATTTTAATTTAAATATGACTATAGATTAGTGCATGATCAAGATCTTATAAACTTAAAAAATCTCCCATTAAATTTTCGTTATTATGTAATTTGTCTCATCAGGACTAAGGGTGTCAATTTCGGGTCACGGGTCGGGTCCGGGTCGAACCCGGAACTGACCGGCACTGCTCGGGTCAACCCGAACCAGACTCGTTTTTGCAAACGGGTCGATTTTTCGAATCCGAACCCGACCCGCTGACATGACAACGCGGGTCTTCCACGCGCGTCGACGCGTCGACGGAGCTCCGAGCGCACAGCGTCGTCCACACGGGTCTTCCACGCGCGGCACTGCGTCGTCCACGCGGGTCTTTCACGCGCGTATACGCGTAGTCCGTTCGGCACGAGCACACCGCAGCCTCACATCGGTGCAGGTCAGGCTGGTCTGCAGCCGCTGTAGCGACAGCTCGGTCGCAAGTCGCAGCGGCGCAGTCTTGTCGGCTTGTCGCGATCTCTACAGTTCAGGCTTAGCGCGGCAGTGGCAGCGGCATTGCGATTTGCGGGGAAAAACCGAGTTGACGGAAGCGACACGACAGGGCTGATAGGCAAATTGACAGATGCGAGTCAGACGGATGTGACATGAGGTAAGAGACGAAATTTCGGGTCAAATCGGGTTGATTTTGGGTTTACGGGTCAACCCGAACCCGACCCGATTCGGGTTCGGGTTGACCCAAATTCGAAATTTTAGAGTCGAGTTCGAATCAACTTTTTGGGTCGTGCCAAATATTGACACCCATAACCAGGACTTTGCCCATTATATTTCATTCTTTATATATTTATAATTAAGTGACAATAAAATGCCCCGCCTTGCCGGATTGACGCTCTTCCCCTTGCTTCTAAGGGCATCTCCAACCGAAAACTTCATTTTTCACGGCAAAGTAACTCAAAAACTCCAAAATGGCGCGGGATGCTCCAATCGAACGTCATTTTAGGTGTTTTTGAGAAGGTAACGATCGCTCTCCCTTTCGCGCGTTTTTCGGGTTGAGAGAAAAAATGGCGTGACTGAACAGTGCGACGCCAACTGTTCACCTGTGATTAAATGGCGAAAATTTTAGCGTTCGGTTGGAGATGCCCTAACAGGCCGGTTCCTCCTCTCTCATCCGCCGCCTCTCGCTGCCGCTGCCAATTTCGAGTCCGAGTACGCTAGACGCAGTACGGCAGCTGTACGATTGTTCAGCTCTATGGCGGAGGCGCCGGTGGCGAGAAAGGTGAAGCACGAAATGGAGATGTTTGGCGATGTCCGTGTCGACGATTACTACTGGCTCCGAGACGACTCTCGTTCGAATCCTGAGGTTCTCTCCTACCTCAAGGCGGAGAACGATTACACCAATCAAGTAACGTCGAGTGAGCTCCAGGCCATCATTTTTTTCAAGTTTCACTTAATGCAACGGGAAATTAAATTTTGTATGTTGTGAATGCTGTTTTTTACCCGATGTTTGTAAGGGAAAACGGGGCTTCTTATCAGTTAAAGTGGGCACGATTTTTTTGCTTTCTAATTCTTTTTTGTTTATTTGCCATTTCAATTGATGTGGGTCAAAGTTCTGCCGAGGTGCGTTTTGGATTTAAATGACTGTGAATCAACGAGGGTGAATTTGTTGAATCCCTGATGAGTTAATACTAATCCTCTTGCTTAGGTTACTTTTAGAATTTAAAAGAATCTTTTGAAAAGAATATTTATTAATATTATTATTATTTTTAAACTTGAATATGCACGGTAAAAATTCAAGCTTTACCATAGAGAAATGTTTTATTCCCTGAAAATTCTTATTTTTTATTTTTTGGTTGGTTTTTTAGATTTGTTTGGGGAATGTTGCAATACTCTTTGCACCATTTTTACAAAATTGCTTTTTACTTGTCCTGGACATGATCCTTTGGCTACTGCGGCAGATTAATGTCATGATTTTACCAGTAAAGAAACAAGTGATGGGAACGTGGCTTGATGAAGTGAAATTCAGTAGCCTTATTTGTGCAAAGGAATTTTAAAGAAAATGCTAAACTATGTAGAAGATTTGATCATTTGTTAAATTTTTAATAAACTACTAATCAGTTCTGTAAATTTTATAGCTTTTTTATTTTGGAGTATGACATTTCTTCAACTATTCTAATTTTTTATTCAACCAGACACTCCCCCACACCCATGCTGATGCTGCCGCTGCCGCTGCCGCCACCACTACACACACATATAATTCTTCTCTTTTAGTTCGATATGCTAACATTTAAACGTGTTCAATTCTAGGTGTAAAACAGTTTGAGGATGAGTTATATGCTGAGATAAGAGCAAGAATCAAGGAAGATGATATCTCAGCACCTATTCGGAGAGGGCCATATTATTATTATGAGAGAACTTTGCAGGGAAAAGAATATGTTCAGCATTGCAGGCGTCTTATCACTAATGGAACTTCTGCTTCTGTGCATGATGTTATGCCCATGGGACCTGAAGCACCTAAGGAGCATGTTATCCTAGATGAGAACATCAAGGCTCAAGGCCATGATTATTATAGCATCGAGGCTTTTAAAGTAATTCTTGGCCGTTTTAGCATTTAGTTGCAGACTTGCAGTTTCTTTTTCCTTCATGTTCATGTTTCCAATTATTGTACTTGTGTTTACAGGCTAGCCCGAATAATAAACTTGTAGCTTACGCTGAAGACACTAAAGGTGATGAGATCTATACTATTTTCGTGATTGATGCTGATAAAGGTACTGTTGTTGGCGATCCGTTGAAAGGAGCAACTTCATATGTAGAATGGGCAGGGAATGAGACACTAGTTTACATTACAATGGATGAAATCCTTCGTCCTGACAAGGTTACATTCTTGGCATTTAAAGTTATTCTGCAATGATTTAGCCTTCGTTTGGGACAGCTTTTTTATTGTTTCTTGAAGCAATTTTTTAGTATAAAAATTAAAATTTTTATACTAGAAAGCTGCTTCAAGGAGCAGTAAAAAAGCCATCCCAAACGAAGCCTTAATTGGATGGTTGATGCTTGATGCTTGCATAATGTGCTTGTAACTTTTTGGTAGAATGCACTTTATCAACTGCAATGTTACTATATAGAATATAGTGATTTTTTTTCTTTAAACCGTTGAATGAAAGCAAACGCCATTACATGAGATATCACTTTTTCCTCCGTCACTTCTCCAAAATTTAGCCATTTAGAATGCTTTCCCTGTCTGCTGGATTACTCAAGTCTAATGTCAATTATACTTTTGTAGGTATGGTCTCATAAATTATTGTCAGAACAGTCAAGTGATCAGTGCCTCTACCATGAGAAAGATGATATGTTTTCTGTCGATCTCCAAGCTTCTGAAAGCAAACAATACCTGTTTGTTGGATCTGAAAGTAAAAATACACGGTTTATCTATTATCTAGACATTTACAACCTAGAAGGTGGGCTTACGACTTTGACTCCTCGTGTTTATGGTATTGATACCTCAGCAAGTCACCGTGGAAATCATTTTTTTATCAAGAGAAGAAGTGAAGAGTTCTATAATTCTGAATTAGTTTATTGTCCAGTGGACAAACCATCTGAAACAAAAGTTTTGATTCCACATCGAGAAAGGTAGTTTTATAATACAAATAAATTTCCTTAGAGTTTAGTGTGCTATATGTTAATCCCCTCTTTTTATATGGTTAAATTAGGAAAATCAGTATGCTAGTTGATTTCATGAAGAAACTAATTGGAGTATAGTCCAATGCTCTTTAGTCAAAATATTGATGAATAGTTACTATTTTTCAGGGTGAAAATTGAAGATTTTAAACTTTTTATCGGTCATGTTGCTGTTTATGAGAGGGAGAATGGCTTACCAAAAGTGACTGTATATAACCTTCCATCAATAGGAGAAGCAATTGGAGTGCTCCAAGAGGGTCGCGCAGTTGATTTTGTTGATTCTATATACTCTGTGGAACCTACAGAATCACAGTTTTCTTCCAACATTTTACGCTTTTCCTATAGTTCAATGAAAACGCCTACATCTGTTTATGATTATGATATGAATTTAGGCATCTCTGTTCTGAAGAAGATGCAGCCGGTAAAGTATATGAGAAGATTATTCTTTGATTTTTCTATACTTTTGAGCTTATTTAATTCATGAGCACTTACTAGTTTTTTAAGTGTTTTCTCCCATATTAAATTTGATAAGAACACCAGATAAATGAGAAGTTTTATGAAAACATCTTTCTTCATAAAAATGCTACATAACTATTCATTGAGACGACCCGAATAGCTGGATTAAGGCAAATAATGATGGTTATCATTAGTGTTTTACATACCAGCAATTTGCATCCTTCGTATTTTGAGAGCAAATCCACACTGAATTTTCATGTTGAATCAACATATTTATTAAATAATGAGTTAACAATCGTCTAAGTTGTTCCAAGTCTTCTTGATCATAAAATTTGAACGTTTGATAAAGCTTATTTAGATCTGATTTTTTAATTTAATAATTTTAATTACATGCTAACCCATCATCCTTAGTAGACATATACTAACTATCTGGAATTTTAACTCTATTTTTCACACATTTTAATACTGTTTCTAACTATTTGATGTTTAGCCTACCTTTTTCTTCCTAGCTTTTTATTTTTTTGCATTCTTCTCATCTTATCTGTGAATCTTCTACCTCCCTTTATTTATGTTCAACCTTCTTAGTCTGATATTAACTATTATCTTGAATGTGTACTTCGTCCTCCATCACTCAAATAACTATTCTCAATCTTGTTTATCTTTATATGTAATTGTTGAGATCAACTTTATAGGTGGACCTAGATAAGAAGGTCATCTTTTTTTTTTTTAGCATGTTCCGATGTATTTTTTATTCTACTATCATGTAATAAAGTCTATGGAGTATGGATGGAAGTTGTTGTTGATCTCTGTGGCAAATAAAAAAAAGAGAGCCAAATAAAAAATACCAGCCTCTGCTCAAATCCTGTATTGTCGGATGCCCATGCCCTGTACATTCGGTGTCGTTTCGAACAATGCACGCACAAATTGGCCTCGATCCTCACGTTCTTGTCTCCCGTTCTTGTTAAGACAACACGAACAAAGCCTTTGACTCTCCTATTTTTTCGCTCATAATAGCCCTCCTAGCTCGAATATATTGTAGTCCTCTGTAGCCATCTTCCTCAAGCCAATGCCAAGACCTTCCTAGCCAGTCAAAGACACTTCAATCTTCCAATCCCTTGGCTTCGTCTACTACCACCCGCCGAACCACGCTCGACCAACCGACCTCTTCTTCACTGTTGCACCGACCTCCTATACGCTATTAGCCTGCGATCGAGCTCGTTCCGATCTCGTAAGACCTTGCCCAATCGCACGTAGCTTCGATCCTTTCATCCGTCTCCTCCTCACAACAACCTCTCGATCTCCTTCCAATTGCACAAAGACCCGACCACTTCATCCTGCAAGCCGGCTTCGATCCGACCTAGATCCCGATCTACCTGCTTCATTTGCAACCCATCTCCCTCACAGTGCCGATCACAGACGAAGCCCTCGACCGACCCTACATGATCTCGACTGTGCCTAAGCCTTCGACAGATCCAATCCCTCCTCCCTCTACCCAGATCCAATCCCTCCTCCCTCTACCTAGATCCAATCCCTCCTCCCTCGATCCCGCCGAACCTCACACAAATCCCTTCATCCAGTCATTCGTGACCCTAGCCGATGCCAACCCCACAACTTCAATCTCATTTCCCTCACTTTGGTTCACTAAACCGAGCTCGTCATACCTTCCTTCTTGCAAGCCAAACTTCTTCTCACATATAGAGCCGTCGAACCCCCCTCCAACCCGTCAACTGAACCAGCTGAACTCACCCACTTCCTCGTGCTTTGAACCCACCAGTTACCTGATTCCCAACTCACATCCAATTCAATTAGAATACTCATGGTAAACTCTTTTTGTTATTGTTAGTTAGCTAATAATTATTATTAATAACAAAGATTATTATTATTATATAATAAAAAAGTAGGAAATATAATAAAAGAAAGATATTTTTGTACACACTAGCCCTTGACGTCGTCGTCACCACTTCTCCCATGCAAGGTATAATGTTCCAAAGATCCTGCTTTCGGCGCTTGTGCGCACCGAAAAATCACCATTCACCCATACATGTTTTTCTCTAGCGTGGTGGGAGGAAACCCGATGCGGTGCTTATCGCGAGGCAGGTAGTCCCTGCACACGCTTTTTCCTAGTGTGACAGGGACAACTTTAAGTAACTGTGCGAGCCTCAATGTCGGCAGGGAAAAAGCTGTGCATTTTGAACAGGTATTCCTGAAGACCCATATATGTCTTTCTCTGACGTGGTGGGATTGAAGACCATAGTCGCGGTGTCCTCTGATGCATATTTTACACATTTTTTTCTAGCATGGTGGGAAGGCCCCGCTCCCAAGAATTCTCCTGAACCGGGGAGACGCTGGGAAGTTGCTAGATTTTTTATCAAATAGAGGATTTAAATTAACAATAGGGGACTGAATTTATCGATTATTGGACAACCACAGGGGGCTTAAACTGAAACTACAATTACATGGAACAAAACTCGATGCCTAAGACCAAAACCTATAATTCAAAAAATAACAAAAAAACACACAAGCATGAGACGTACGATGAATGGAACTTTGAGTATTAAACAAGGGTGATACACTATCTAATTGCAAGCCAAAGCGAACAAGCGCTGCAAATCAAATGAGGATATGGCAATCAATTATAATACGTGTATCAGCCAAGCAAGCTAACATATCACTTTTCTGTGAATGAAAGAGGCTGATGTACATGGCAGTGTGCTTGCGAGCGACTGGCAAGAAGCTTATGAGTGATCATGGGGAATAGTTTGGGGTGGGTGGGGGGGATACAAATGAACATGAAAGCTCACTAGCCAACATGTACGGAGAAGTTGACAATGAATGCAAATACTTACTGGTGACGGTGGAAGAATTGTTACGTACACAATGCCACAATGGTATACCTACGAATGACAACCAACAAAAGGCAATGAATGTAAGAAAATTCCTACATCCAATGCTAATCAATAGGCAAATGAATATGCTATTCTCCTATGAACATAAGATCAATAAGCAATGAACACATCAATGTACCTACAAATAGTATGTCTCATGCAAAATATATAACCAGCACACATTCAATGCTATGACATTCCTACAATCAATGTAGAAGGTGGCAATTCACCTGCAAGCAACATTGGTGGATACGCTGCAGATTTGATGAGTCCTATGCGAACACAGGCAATATATTTTGCACGTTATATGTGAACTAGTGCAGAAGGACTACAACAAATGCAAACACCTATGAGCCGTAGGAGACTCGTTAGGTATACAACATGCCATTTACAAGCAAGATGCAGAAGAAATATTATAAAATCCAGTGTCTATAAGTGGCACTAGAAGATTTATGTTCAACGTAGTTCACCCGCAGATAAAAATGAAAGCCCCACAATGCATACAAAAGTCTTGCATGCAAGTTTTGATAGTAAATGTGCTGTGGGACTACAACAAATGCAAGCGTCTACGAGCCATTGCAGGAGACTTGTTAGTGCACAATAGTCTACCTGCATAAAGCAGCAAATGACTGACAGCGAGGGTTACGCCACCGGATCCGCAACATCCATGCAAGTGGACAGAAGGTGTCCACAGGCTTCTAAATAGGACTTTGCACACTTGCAAGCGTTTGACATTTACATAATATATTATTACAAAATACCCTTATGCATCGAAACACGTGCTGACACATAAATAAATAAATAAATAAATAAATATATATATATATATAATGTGTAGGGTGTATCATACAAATACGTTATTCAGCACGCAAGGTATATTATGCATATGCATGCTGCGACATCATGTAAATATGCCATTCAGTACGCAAGGCATCATGCTGCAGTTGCGCATCACACTAAAATGCAAATACACCATGTGCAACATGTAAAATTCAATATACATGCATACACACGAATACATTATGTATTACATGAGGACGTCAAATTATCACTCAGGTGTATTATGCAAGCAAAATGGCAAGTATGAATGCATTATTCATAAATATCATGCATATACATCCCATGCCACATTAGTGTAGTAGGTCACTACGTTGCATATCAAGTACATCGTGTAAGATGCAAATGCATATGCCAACATACATGATACATGTAGATGTGTTGCATACGTCTATTGTATACGCATGACAACGTCCATATGAACACGTCATGCAAAATGCAAATGTGTACGCCAATATACATGCATATATGTAGATACATAAATGCACATATAAGTATATTAATATAGAGATGAAAGCATGGTTATGTGTGCGAATATGCATGTTGGTCATAAATATCTGCATACAGACAACCACTATACAAACATATTATGCAAAATACATATAAAAGCATACACATTCATGGGTCCCGACGAGCGTGTTATAAGCAGACACATGACGTCTGAGGATGCTGCATGGGTCAAACATGAATCCAAATTCGATCATGATCTTTCTACATGGTTGGATAAGAGTCGACACGGTTCGAACCATAAAACAAATATATGGTCATGTTGTTGACCGGGATATTTATTTTATACATTCATATTAGGCCTTCAAGGTCTATTACATGAAAAATTTATTGACAATGGTAAACAGCTGACAACGAACCCGATCCTTTTATGTGGGTAGGTAGGAGTTGACACGGTTCGTCTATCAAATAATTATACGGTCACATTGTCGACTAAAATATTTATTTTATACATTCATATTAGGCCTTCAAGGCCCTCAACAAGAAAAATTTATTAACGAAGGCACATCTTATAACGAACTCGATTCTCTGTCATTAAGTAGACAAAGTTGGTAAGGTTCAACCAACAAAATGAATTGCTCATAAATACCTCGATAATGGCCGTGTTGGCATAAAATCTCAACCGGAGGGGACCAAAAACATTAAAAAATGCCTCCCCGAATACCTAAATTCTCATAAAAATTCAAAATTCCAAAAATATTATAATGTCAAAATATTTAAAATTGAAATAAATCATTAAATACTTAAAGCAAAATTCATCCACTATCCGCAATAGTTTGTTGAGGTGGATTAATTTGAAAATCACTTCAGCTTACAAAGAGTAAATGTCTGGTCGAGAATATCACTAGGATTCATTCTCAATATGTCTTTTGCCAGTAAGGACGTGTCACATGTTCTCTAACCGGTGATTTCGCCGCCAAATAATACCACACTGATGGTTGCGCTGCTAAATGACACTCAGGAAAACGGTTATGACCGGGACCCTTTGTACCGGGTGATTTTGCTGCCAAATGGCGCAACTAACTTAAGGTCATCGTCAGAGCCCGTATGCTCCTCAATGGCTTCAAATCCTTAAGATATGAATTAATATGATATAATTGATACAGCACAAAGCCCTCTGTTAGCCAAGGTGGATTCAAATTTATCTCCTTAGACAAATATTCACCTAGGTTTATAAGGTACCTTTGGACGAAGCAACCCATAGTTGCTGACAAGGATTCTTTTGTAAGATTGGCTCGACTACCTCCTTTGACTAAGTAGACTCAGGACTACGATGACCCGAGACGACGGAACCATGGAATCATGATCGGGTCTATCATCACTCCCCGCATCATCCGCTTTAAGTGTAAGGTGGTAAAATTTCAATTTTAAATGTTAAGTTTTAAATACCTAAACATGCTCCTACCATACTCTAGATACCACATATCTATTTGACGACTAGCTTTAATCGAAAGTTCTATCTCGTTATCGGGAGGGATAATTAACTATAGGGGCTTGCGCCTATAAACCTGAACTTAGATCATAAAGTCCTCGCAAAATGAGGGCAAAATCTCTGGATAATGACTTATCTACAAACCCAATATGCCTTGGAACTTGAGCATTAAAACTCTCCTCGACGACCCCATAAGAAAAGAAAGAAAGGGGTCCGCGGAGAGGCCAAGGCGCAAATTTTCGGAGCCCACGGTTGTTTAAAATTATTTGTACATAATAGTAGGGTTAACACCTTACATTAACTAATGATAAATGAAGATTCATAAAGCCAACCCCGAATAGTTGGGAGAAGGCTAATAATGATGATGAATAAAATATGAAATATAATCCCTGAAAAACATTTTAATTTTTTTTTTAAATGCTGTAGTTTATGCAAATAACTATGTACCCTCGTTTAAAGATTTGTCTTAAATCCTTTGACTCAATCCATTCATACAGTTTATAAAAGGTTGGAATTTTTTTTACTTCTCTTGTCAGATTAAATAGAGCATTTTTAATTTTGTTTTATATATTGTTTATGCACACTATAGATGTGTTCGAGTGTCTTGCATGCTATTCTAGATATTGATGGATTTGGATGGTCCTAGGTTGTGAGAAAAATAGTCATAGCTAGCATTTGCTGATATTTCTACATGGAAAAAAGGTAAAAATTATGATCATTTTACGAAGTTCGCAAAAATCATGAGATGTCGCCAACAGAAAACAAAATTCAAGTCCTTCCTTTGGAGGGTAGGAGAAAGCCTTATCATAGACTAACATCAAGCAAGCGTAGGTGCTTGCAATGTACTAAAAATGAATCTTTTGACTAATGTGGATGAAATTTCAGTGCTATTTAGATATCTTAACTATAAGAAGTCCTATAGCATGTGACTTCAGTGTTCTTGTTATCTATTGGATATTTTTTTGATAATCATAGTTATGAAAAGTGGCTATATCAGGCCAAACTTTAGTGGAATTGAACAGTTTGCTAGCACCTTTATTTGTGAATGTTTGACTAACCAATATACATAACTTTGCATTATTGGGTCAAATTATTTTTTTGTTTTGATATATTATTTGCTGATACTCATACAAATTTAACAGAGTAATTGCATCGACTTTTTCCTATCCTATCTCAGGTATTAGGCGGTTTTGAGTCATCGGATTATTCGACCAAGAGAGAATGGGCTGTCGCTTCAGATGGTACCAAGGTCCCTATTTCAATTCTATATAAAAAGAACCTTGTGAAGCTTGATGGATCTGATCCTTTATTACTCTATGGCTATGGCTCATATGAGGTAATATGTGATTTTAATTTTTTTGGTATTAGTTAGAGCTTAGAAATCCTTTTAACAATTAATATGTGGACAATATATCTAGGCACTTTAGAGTGTTGGCACTCAAATTTCGACGTTTTAACTAAGTTTATCCTTTTATGACGATGCTTTGGCACTGAATGATTTGCATTGTACATCTTTTTTTCTTAATTGAATCAGCTTTGATTGTTTCTTTAACAGAAAGTAGACTGAGCCTTATGCATTTTTAGGATTATTTTTTGTGTTTAGGACTTATCATTAAAACACTTGGCTTAGCTTGTGTAATTTATTTTACCTAATTAATGACACTCATCATTAAACTCTAAAAAAAATTGAGGTCAAAATATTTAATCATGTTACATTGTTTGAATCAAATTCAAACAAATAGCCCAGCTCTATTATGGGACACAAAATCACTTGATTTATCGCTCGTGCCTCTTAAGCTCTAAGCTATAGGTGCCCGCTTTATCTTGTAGTCCCAAAGCTACAGGTTCATATTATCCATTCTTTTAGTTGACCCAATCAAGCAAATGATCCCTTAGCTTGGGCTCATAAGTTTTAGCTTCTTTTGTTCACTCAAATCAAATAGGAGCTCCCTGTCAACGCTGGTCTTGTCATCAAAAACTTCAACGGATCAATATTTGAAATCAACATAATTTTATGAGATAGCATGTAGTGGCGGAACTTCTAGACTGTGAAAATCAATGCCATACAATGTTTCTCAATTGGGGAATAACATATTTAAGCTCCAATCAACCTGTTCTAGTTCGGACTCACTTCTCAGAATCGAGTTCAAACTCGGCTCGAAGCTTGTCGAGCTTCTCGGACATCTGTTCGAGCTCGTTTAAAAAAAATTGTTCGAACTCGGGCTCGTGTTCGCATACGAGCTCGTTTATTTAGCGGCTCGTTTGACAAAGCGAGCTGCTCTCTAGAGCCTCCAGCCGAGAGAAACCCAGCTAGCACCCAACCACCTGCCCACCTTTTGGGGTGTATGCAGTAGAATTTGTTTTTATAAAGCCTAATCATGAACCTCCAGGCGATGTGGGACTAAAGCGTTTACATTTTTTTTTTAAAACTGGGTGACGCCACGGAGGAGAGAGAGAGAGAGAGAGAGAGAGAGAGAGAGAGAGAGAGATGCAAGCGAAAAAAAAAAATACATAGAGAGAGGGCAGGAATATGAGGCGGGAGAAACTCAATATAATGTTAAATATATTATAACGTTATTATATATTATAATGTTAAATATATTATATTTAGAAAATAGTATTTATTCTAAATAGTAATATATATAAAACAATAATAACGTTATAATAGTTAAATAATGTTAAATATATTATAATGTTATTATAGTTAAATAATATAAAATATCATTTTAGTTAATATTTAAATATTTTTTTAATTAAATAAGGCATAATCGAGCTTTTTAATCGAGTTTCTTACGAGCATGTTCACGAGCACTAAACAATCTTGTTCGCGAACATAATCGAGCTGAACGTCAGGGTGTTCAAGTTTGTTTATTTAGCTATCGAGTATTGTCAAAGTTGTTCAAGCTTGTTCATTTACCTTATCGAACGAACATAAACGAGCCCTTATCAAGCTGAGCCACTAGTAGCTCGTCGAACGCTCGGTTCATTTGCAGCCCTAATTGTGGTCCATGCTCTTGATGATGAGGTCATCTACATAGTACTTGACCTTTTGATAAATCAACTCATCAAAGATGCACAACTTCGCCCACTGATATATATCAGCGGCGTTTTTCAGGCCAAAGGGCATAACCGTGTAGCAAAATATGCCGATGGGCGTTTTAAATGACGTATGATTTTCATTTTCAAAATCGGGTGAGCAAGGGGAGAGGGTCACGGTGGGCCCCATGGGCCCACTCACTTGAATCCTTGGGCATCAAGGGGGGCGGCCAGATTTTGGGGGGAAAATGGAGGGTGGATGATGGGGGGCAATTTAGGGATGAAGGGGAAGTTGTGAGATTGTATGAAAAGAGCCATTAGGGTTTATTTTGGGGGTCATCATGTGAAGTAAAGCTCTTTCTCATTTCCTTCTTGTTTTTAGGGTTTCTTTTGGGAGATTTGGTCCTTCTCGAAGTGGACTAGCTTTTTCTTGTGTTTCTCTTGAAGATTAATGCAAAGTTCTCTTGTTCTTCTTCTCATACTTCTTGTTTTGGTTTAACTTTGATTTGATGGAGAAATATCATCTTTGAAGGAAAATTAGGGCAAACCCTAATTTGTGAAACTTAAGGCGTATCAGTTTTTCAGAGCCCGAATCAGAGTCTCCCGAAGGTCTTTAGACATTACAAGGGCATCGTATATACTGAGTTGTGCTTGAATTTTTCTTAGATGAGATAAGATGTTAGAATCTATCCCCTTGGCTGAAGTGTCTTTTTTATGATCCTTGGCGATAAATAATCATTAACAATTATCTCGTTCTCTTTATCTTTATTTGGGATCCCCTTTTTTAGTGGAGACGACAGTATCTTGTCACTTCTCAACTGTACCTGGGTCACTTCATCTGGATCAAACTCGTTTAATGTGCATTTTCTTTAGAGTCGGCCATTGTCGCATTCGGAGATTCACTTGTAGACTCAGAATCGTCCTCCAATCTCACCTGCTCCTTTTGTGGCACTATATCAGGATATGAATCATCTTCATTTAAAAAATATAGATCATCTTCTGAACTGTAGTTCATTGGTGACACCATTAGATAAGATTCAGTGGCCGCTTCTTCAATGTATTATTTTCTTGTCAGTATTTTTGATGTCGCCGAATTGACTTAACATGTTTCCACATGAAGCAATTAATTATCTGCCTTTTCTTCCTTTTTTATCTATTTTAAGCTTTTTCTTGAAATCGGTGAGCTTAATAGGCCACCTCGCAGCCTGGTTATATTTGTCCAAACTGTCAATAGCCGTTTGATTGGCTATCTTTTTCTCCTTGGGCTTCTTCGATTTGGCTCTCTTCTTGGAAGACTTTGATTTTGTCTTACTAGCCTTTGATGAGCTAGCTTGACCAGGGTGCTGTTTGGAGGTGGATGCATGTGTGATAGGTAACCACTTTAAATTTAGCACTAGTTTATTAGGAGATTTTCACTTAACACCCAGAACTCCTTCCAACTACTTCAGCATTTTAGTTGTCTTCTTGGAGACCACAATCTCCCATTGTTTCTCTTGAATAGGTTCTTTTTTTATTAATTCTTTAGGTGGACGTATGGAAGAGGACGTGACCACCCAGGTGGTTTCTTTTCTGAGGACAAATTAACACATTATCTGACAACGTAAATTCTCCCATTATATATTTCTTCTCCAGCCAATCTTTAAAGACGTAGCAATTTTCAATTGGGTGTCTGATTGCCCGATAATACGGGCAATAATTCGGGTCGCCAATATGCTTAGGTTCTTTAGGCCTTCTATATTATGGCAATTCTAGACTGGCCTTGAGTGCTTATCAGAATAGTTTGACGACAATTTTCCTCTTGAATGAATATTCCTTATTCATTTTCTCTTTGAGGGATCAGAAAGTTCTACCACCAACTCTCATTGCTTGTCCTGGTCGCTCTCCTCCACTAGAGAAAGTCTGAGGCTCATCATTTCCCCCAAGAACTATTTTTGGCTGAGGGTTAGGATTATAGGCCTGTTTTGGCTTCTCCTCACACTACATTGGTTGTTTGCCTTTATCGACATTCTATATTGTCCGTTTGCTTTTGTCAACTTTATACGCCACATGTTTTATTTTATCAGGCCTGAAAAAGAACATGGAGTAGGCTTCACTCTTCTTAGCATTAGGGGCTTTTGCTTTTTTAGATTTATTAAAGTGACTTTCTAATTTTGATATGTTCAATTTTTAGACTTTGCAACCCTATCCAACAGATCTTTGAAGATAGTGATAGAAGCTATGCACAAGAATAGTAGCATTTTATCATATGTTTCCCATCAATTATTGAAATGTATGCTCCTCTTCCAACTGTCGTTTGCATTTTATACTGAGATTGTGCTAACGAGTTATGTATTTCGTACTGACTCGTCCTTCTTTCTTTTATTTAGGACGAGATCAATGAAGATAGTCTTCTCCGTTGTATCGACAAATTTTTTCACAAAAAAGGCTTCTAATTCCGCAAGCGCCTTTACGAAGGTTTGACAACTCAACATACCATTCGAAAGCCATTGCTGTCAAGCTGCTGACAAATTGCCGAAAAAGTAAGGCATAACTGCCTCCTGTATTCTCGCATTTTACTTTGAACTGCGTCAGGTGCTGTCTGTGATTATTATTGTCGTTGAAAGTATTGAACTTTGGAATAGAATATCCCTTCAGATACGACACATGGTCATATTCTAGTGGGTAAGGCCAATCTTTGCCTACCAACTTCTTCGCCTCTTAAGAAGCTATAATGAATTTAATTTTTTCACTGATTAAACCCTCTAGATGTCGGAGGAAGACACATGACCATGAATATGCTATTTGATATTGATAGATTCTTCTTGAGAAGACACATCACACCTTACCCGCGTAGGTAGATTCGTAGTTATAGTCATAATATAATTTTTTTGCGACTTTTTTACTGCCTTCAGGTACACCCTTCACTTCTAAAGTTTGGGGCACCTAATAATTTGGTGGATTTGCTGGAGCGCTGCTCGTAGCTTGATTAACAGGATGAGCTAGAGTAGGACCTACAAAAGTAGCCTTATGCATCATCTCGATCGTTGTCGTCATCTGAGTCATCATCTCAGACATTTTTTTCGTTCAATCGAGAGATTTCTTTATCCTTCGTCCTTATTTGTCGCCTCACTCGCCCCCTAATTTTTGCAAGTGTGATAGTTTTGGTGGCGAGGAGATTCTCATCAGCTTCATCTCCTTTTTCTGAGTGGCCACTTCGGCTGGCGACAGATCCAACCCTGTAGCGACGTTGGTTAATTTGTTTAGGTGACTGCAGTAGCCTATACTCATCATTATCGTCGTCATCATTGATATGACTTACCA